TAATCTGATTTTCTCTCTGTTTGTGTTTTGTTTCGTCTTGTTTCTGTCCCTGCATGCTCTGCGTGGCCTGTGTCCACCTGTCCCCTGTGCTTTCCTGGCCTGGTGTCTCCCCGCCCTCCTGCCTCCCACCCTTGCCGGCTCCCCTGGGGTTGGGGTGGGCAGCGTACAATGCCAAGCTGCAGGACATGGGGCAGGGTGGCCACTTCCGGCCCCCTCCTCTCCACCGGCTGCGGCTGCGATCTGCCTCCCTCTCTGGTGGGTCCCCTGTCCCGGCTCCCTTGGCGCACAGTTAGCTCCTGGTCTCTCTCTCTCTCCAGACCTGGCCAGATGCCTTCTCTCCTCCCGGCCCCATTCCCTCCTGTCCCCATCTCCCCTCTGCTGGGTGCTTGTCCTCTTTCCAGCTGTTCCTGGCGCTCTCTGCTCTCCCTGTTTTTCTCTCTGGCCTGCTCCTTACCCTCTCTTTCCTCCCCGTCCTCTGTCCCTCCTCTCTGCATGAGCCTGGTCCCCGCTTCTGCATGGATGGGGCCTGATGCTTTCAGCCTTGGGAACAGGTGTGAAGGGGCTAGATGAACCCTCAGGGTCCCCACTGGAGGTAAAGGCCTCCGTGGTGAGGTGCGCAGCGAGGGGTCCAGCACCCTGCCCCCCCAGGCAGATAGTCTGGGCTGGGGGTGGGTGGTCTCAGCAGGAGGTAGGCTGTGCCTTGCTTGGGGCCACCAGGTGCAGGACAAGGAGTGGTCACCCAGTGCCTGCTGCTGGGGCACTGGAGCATCGCACACCCTGGAGACAGAGTACTTCTGACCCCACCCCCATCTGATCCTAGGACCCATGGCCCAGAGTCAGAAGCCTGAGCTATGGTCTTGGCCCTGCCTGCGCTCACCCCCGTGACCTTGGGCAAGTCGCTCACCTGTTCAGAGCTCAGTTACCCAATTTGAAACCTGGAGGGTGACAGCCCAGCCTCCAGTGTTTCACACGGTGGTTTGGCATGTCCCGGATGTGAGGGCCCCTCCCTCAGGGCCATAGTACTTTATCTGAGGATGATGACGTCCCCTGATGTCCACTCCAGCTTCCTGGACAGCAGATCCTCAGGCTCGTAGTCCTGGGGAGGGAATCAGCTGGTCTTTCCCAGCTGTTCTGAGCCTCAGGTTGGTGTCAGGGAGGGGACAGTGTGCTCAGGCTTGTCCCACACCATGGCCTGAGAGGCGCTGGGAACCAGTGACGGCCAATGGTGCTGTCTGGTGCCTCTTGGATCCCCCTCCTCCCAGTCCATGGATAATCGGGAGATGGCTCTAAAACCCGGTCCTCCTGTCCCCCTCCTTTCCTGCTGCCTTTTTCTCAGTCCTGTGGTGAGGAGTGCAGTGTCCAGCTGGGCCTGGGCTGGGCAGGTTCCGGGGGTGGTGTCTCCTGAGGGGAGCTGGCATGGCTTGCCCTAGGGCTGCTAGTGTGAGCGCCGCTGCCGTGTGGCTTTCTGGTGCCCTGGCCTAGCAGGTGGCCTTCCTCCTGGATCCCCTTGCTCCTGGAGCCCCAGGCATGCAGTCGGACACCCCGTTCCCGACCTGGAGCTGAGGAAGCCAGTCTTCTGGAAATTGGAAGATTGGGAGAAGAGCTGGGTCTGTGGGGGTGGGAGTGGCCACGGGGTGGGGGAAGCTGACACCAGGGTGTTTGTCCCTGTGACTCGGGTGGGAGAGGCAGTCCTTTACCAAAGTGTTGGGGCCTCAGCGCCCAGAATTGCAGGGTGTGCGTGTGTGTACATGTGTGTGTGTGTGTGTGTGTGTGTACGTATGTGCGTGGTGAAGGCCGGGGTTGCCTCAGGTCTATCTCATGTTAGAGGAGCCTCAGGAGAGAGCTGTCCCCCAGCAGCACCGTCCTGAGCAGCATGATGGAGTGCCCTGGGCGGCAGGGCTGCCTGGCCTGCTCCTCCTCAGTTGTGGGGCCAGGTGGAGGCTTTGGGGCAGAGGTGCCTGCCATCCTCTCAGGGCCGAGGGGAGGACCTCATGCCACTGCGTGTGAGCAGACCTTAAAGGGTGACACAGGGCTCCTTGGCTGGGTGTTGTGATCCTGAAGACCACCTTCTTGTATCAGTGCATCTCACTTCTCAGTCTTCTTGGAGTAGAGTGCTGGACTTGCTGGCCTGGCTGGGAGAACCTTCCAGAATCCTGCCTTTCTTGGCTCCTTTCTTCACCAGCTTCCTATGGCCATATGGCCTTCTGCAGGGGTGGGTGGGGCTGACTGTAAGGGTGCTGAGGGCCCCACCAGGATCCCACCATCCCGGTGTCCCGTTGCCCTTCCTGTCGGGTTGGCTGGTGGTGCGTGCACACTTGTGTGCATGTGTATCTGTGTGAGTGTGTGCTGGTCCCTGCCTGTGTGCGTGTCAGAACCAGAGGCCCTGAGAGAGAGTGGGGCTGGGGGACTCAGGAAGTCCTGGGTGGAGGGTGGTGGCCTGAAGCAGTCCTGTTTTATTATTAGCCAGGCTCTGGGACGTGACAAGGGGCTGTTCTCCCTCTGACACGAGCTGTCAACTGGTGTCCAGACGACCCAGCTTGGCTCAGAACAATGGGGCTCTCTTCTCTTCCTCCATCATGCCCGGCTCCCCTCCCTTGGAGAGTGACAAGAGAGAGGGAACGAGGTTCTCCAGGCACTCCAGGGCAGCTCTGGGCTTGCCAAGGGGGACAACAGTGGGACACTGTGTTCAAAGAATGCAAGTGGCCCTGAGTGGCCACTGGTGCCAGGGGGCACTCTTTGGGGGGCGGGGCTGGCCCCGTGGGAGTGGAATGCAGGGTCTTCTCCTTCTGAAGGGGGAGGCTGTGCCCTGCAGCTCCCTGGCTCTTCGGAGGTCATTCGGTCCATCCTTCTGCCTCTGATCAGAACGCTCTCCCGCGTGCCAGCTGGCGTCTGGCTCCTCCACCATCAGCAAGGCCACGTTCAGTCCAGCCTCCTGTCCTGCTGCCACCGTGGACCGTGGCCCCTGGGCATGGATGCTACTCAGGCAGTGTCTCCAGTGGCAACAGACCCATTTTCCCAAGGGCAAACCTCATCAGATCACGGGACAGGGAAACTGGCCACCTCTTGAAAAGGCAAGGGAACCGGCCAGAGGAGGCTGCCGGGTGGGTGAGCCCGGGACGGAGACCAGCCCTAATGTGTCTCTTCAACCTTGGGGCTGAACTCAGTTCCAGGCCGGGAACCTTCCTCCTTTGTCACAGTATTATTAGAAAATCAATGGCAACCTCTGCTTCTCTGTAATGTTTTTGCCGAATGACTCTAGCAGCAGCCCTGTCCACACTGCCCAGGAGGCCCGAGTGGGGCAGGGCCTTGGCAGGGGAAGGGGAAGCGTGGCTGGGGCCAGGGCTTCTTGCAGGCCTGGCTGAGCTGCTGGCTGCACAGAGCCTCCGAGGCCTGGGAGTCTGGACTCGCTGGTTGAGGCTGGTGTGGCTCTGCCTTCCCAGGCCATGCCCTCCGTCCCTCAGGGTGGGTGCCCCTAGCAGCCCCTGGCTGAGGCTTATATGACTCCTGGTTTTCTATTCTGAAAATAAGGACATGCTGAGGTGGCGGCTTATTAGCTGTAAGCAGAGCCGTTTGGGAGTGGCAGTGAGGTTGTCCTGGCTGAGCGGGCAGGCAGGGCCTCTGGGTAAGGACCCAAGGTGGGGACTCCAGGTATCCTCCACCCCTGCACTTTCTGGATTTAACCTGTGGTCCCCTGACCCTCTGACTGGCCTATGGAGCAACCATCCCGGGAGCACCTGGGTCCCTGTCTAGTGACTGCGTGTGGCGTGAAAGCAGGGGTGCATCTGCCCCAGACTCATTGGCCCGCAGTCAAAAAAACAGGGGCTGCCCTGCATGCACACCACTGTGGATGGTGGAGGGTGGTTCAAGCTGTGCGGTGATGATCTACTTGGCTGTACTGGCCTGTTCCTAGGGTCCAGCAGTGTGTGTGGGGTGTGTGTGTGTGTGTGTGTGTGTGTCTGCGTGTGTGTGTGTGTACTCCCACTTGTGCTGTGGGATGGTCTTCTCAGAGGTACATCCCAGGTACCAGGCCCATGAGACCTGGGACCTTTGGTTAGTCCCAGTGGGGGTTAAGGCAGGGCTGAGACTGTCCCGGAAGATAATCAGGTCTGGGGCCCACACTTTGGGCTGGGTCTTGGCCCCTGGGACCTGGGAAGTGAATTTTCTAGGATTCCAGGAGCCAGTTCAGTGAGGCAATGGATTCCATGCCTCAGCCCAGCTGTGGGAAGAGAGTGGGAAGGAAGGAAGGAAGGAAGGAGGGCGAGGTGAGCACTGTGCCCGGCCTGCGGAGGGGGCCTGGGGTTGGGAGTACTGAGACGCAGTTGGACCTCTGGGCCTGCCCTTTGCAGGGAGGGGCCGCTGGGAGCCGTGGCCATCTTTGGAGTGAGAAGAGGGTCTTAGCTAAGGGGCCAGTAGGAGGGGGGTTGGTAAGAAGTCTCAGACGTACACCAACGGAGGTTGGGGAACCCGAGAGAAGGCTCGAAATATCCCGGTGGCCAGTTGGGCTGAGGACTCCACAGCGAGAATAAGTCGTTTCTTTGTTTCTTCTTGGGAGCACCGTTTTGCAAGATGATGCAATTTATCCCCTTCCAAAAGTTCCTCCCCACGGGCTTGATGTTGCCTGTTGGTTGATGCAGTTGCCTTGGAGACCCTTACTTCCCTCCACCTCCCCTCCTGTGTCTGGAAGCTCTGGCCCTCTGCCTCTAGGGGCTGGACAGAGCTGACATCTGTTTCTTGTATCAATCCTTTGTGCTCTTGGTCCCAACCCTGTGTGGAGTAGCGATTCCTGGCCCTGTCCAAGCAGGTCCCCCACCCTGCAGAGAAAACCCAGGGTGTGAACAGAGTTGGACCGAGGAAGGCTGGGGGAGGTGCAGAGGGGAGGCTGGCCCGCTCTAGCTTGGCCCTGTGCTAAGGGGCGCTGCCTTCTCTGGGGCGACTAGGAGGGGTTGAGTATTTCTCAAACAATATACTCATCGCCCTGCATGCCTTGCCATTCCTCCCAGGGGTGCAGGCTCGGGAGAGGCAGCCTACAGAGCCCCCAGCCCCACTCCGGAGGCGGGCCGCCAGCGATGGACAGTATGAGAACCATTCTCCTGAAGCCACATCCCCCCGTAGCCCTGGGGTTCGCTCCCCTGTCCAGTGCGTCTCCCCTGAGCTGGCTCTCACCATCGCCCTCAATCCTGGAGGGCGCCCCAAAGAGGTGAGTCCTTGAGCTGCATCCTGGGGCCACAGAGGGTAGCACTGTGGCAGTGACCCATCAGTGAAATGCGGAGTTTTTGCCTCCTTGCTTCCTCACCCAAGGCCGTTTCTCTTGGCATTTAGAATCTGGAGCCCATTTTCTCCCTCCAATAGCTTTTACGCCCTGTTACTTTCTTGATTCCTAAAGAGAGTCCCTCTGTAGTGTGATAAGGATCCTGGGGATGACATAGATGACCTCCATCTTGAAAGTCCAAACCAGGTTGTATAGACTGACAAAATATTCTTGAGCCTTTTTCAGAAATAAGGGTTTTCTTGGAAGAGTTAGTTTTCATGCCCAGAAGAGTGCATTTCTGAGACATTTCAGTAATTGGAGGCAGAGGACCTCAAACTTCAGTGGGGAGTTTGTTAAAACTGTTGATTCCCAAATCCACCTCCAGAGATTCCAGCATAGACATTCTAGGATGGGACCCAGGAATCCGCATCATAAACATGCACCCTGAAAAATTCTGATGGTCCGTGGCCACATTGAGAGATACCAGTGGGTGCTGTTGTATAAAACCCAGAGTAGAGAGGCATTCTGGATGCCAGAAGCCCTTGCCTCTTTTTTTCTCTTCTGGCAGGATGCAAGGCCCCTGCCTCCAGCCCCTTCTCTGTAGCCGTGTCCAGAAATATTTCCAGTTCTGACTGAGCTTGCAAATGGCCACTCCCCCGCTCTCTCTAGTTCAAGGAGTTGTTGGGGCTGTGAGTGACCAGGATCTCCCTTTGACCTCTGCACTTATCTGAGCAGTGGCAGAGAGTCAGGCTGGGGAGGGAATTTGTGACCTTGACCTCATGCTCAAGGTCATCTGAAGGGGACCTCCTCTTCTCAGGGCTTCCCCCTTTTCTTCCCCTTTGTCTCCCTGCAGCCCCACCTGCACAGCTACAAGGAGGCCTTCGAGGAGATGGAGGGGACCTCTCCAACCAGCCCGCCGTCCGGTGGGGGTAAGAACTCCCTGCTAAGCCTATCCTCCCCGTGTCCCCTCCTGACCTCATCTTAATCTTGACCTATGCAAGTGCCCCAAGTATGGGGGTGGGGTGGGGGAAGTGTGCCAGCAAAGGTGCATTTAGCTGAAATCTCCTGCTTCTCACTTCCGTGAGTCGGGCAGGGCTAGAGTGGGCCTCCCCCACCCCACTTCCTTATTTCCATTGCGCCATCTTCTCTACTGTCCCTTCTGGGATGAGGCAGCCCCGGTCTTGGGATCTGGATTGATGGCCCGTGGGACCCTGGGCTTCTCATAGTATGGAGTTTTCTTAGTTGTTTGAGACTTTTTTGCATCCTATGCTCAAAAGATATTCCATCCGAATGTGACTCTTGGTGACTTCACCTTGACCTCTTTTTCTGACCCCCATTTCTTTCTGCATCCAGACCCTCTTCTGCCTCGAGCAATCTATGTAGATCCAACCAAGGAAAGAAAGGTCTGGAACTCAGGCTGGCAGAACCCCCATCTCATCTGACCTTGGCCTCCAATCAGAGGCCTTTAGTCTGTAGCCTGCCTATACAGCTGGGGAGGCAAATTCCCAAAGGGCCCCCAAAGAGAAGAGTGAAAGAGGCCAGGAGCACGGCAGCCATCCCTCTTATAGGGGAAATACCTTGACCTGGGGGAGGTAGCTGTGGGGAATGCAGTGACAACATCCTGTCAGGTCAAGAGACACCGGGTCCCCATGAGAGGCCCAGATCAGCAGAGCAGAGGAAGCAGATTCCGGGGATCCTCAAGGGTGGGTTGGCTGGTCCAGGCCCAAGCTGTGCATTTGCCCTCACGAGAGGGGAGGTGGCTAAGGAAGGGTGAGCTGCAGCTGGCTCTGCGTCCCTTGGGGCTGGCTGTCCTGCACAGGGGTGGAACGTGGCAATAGTGCACGGCTTGTGTGCCAGCAAAACTGTGCTGGCTGCCATCTTGAGGAGGCCAAAGCTGTGACAGATCAGCAGCCCTGGCAGCCCTGGCTCTGGCCGCGGGTGGACACAGAATACGAGCACCCTCGCCATTAGAATTCTCTAGTAGTCAGGCTGGGATTTTGGCCCAGCGGTAGAGCGCTTGCCTAGCATGTATGAGGCACTGGGTTCAATTCTTGGCACCACATAAAAATAATACCTTTATTTTTATGTATTGTATAAAACAAAGAGATTGTATCCATCTACAACTAAAAAATATTTTTTAAAAATTCTCTAGTAACTTCAAAAATCATGACCTGTTGAAATTAATTTTAATAACATTTTTCTAAGTCCAAACTATTATCATTTCAACAGGTAAATCAGTCTAAAAATACTGAGATAATTTTACAATCTTTTTTAAACATGTAAAAAGATACTGGTGACATTAATTTTAATAATAAGCTTTATTTAACTTCAATCTACATGATTGAGATGTACTTTGTTAATTTAAAAAATGAGATATTTTGTGTTTCTTTTGCACCCCGAATACTGGTGTGTGTTTTGAACTGACAGCACCACTTAGTTCAGATCAGTCAATTGCAAGTGGCCTTGGGGGCCCTTGGCTGCCACACTGGAGCCACCTACTCAAGACACCGTGTAACCCGGTGGGCTCGATGGCTTCTCTTACCCAGTCCTGACCTTTGACCTTCCCCTCTGCCTCCTTTTGCTGTCAGGTCCAACAGCCAAGGGCTGGGTGTCCCCTTGCTTGGGATGGAAGCCATCAGGTCTGCACTAGAATTGAGTTTTACCTTTTTCTCTCCCTCCCCCTGGCCAGCCCTGGGTGCCCTGGGGACAAGGATAAGTCAGAGCTTTCATAATGCACAGAGCTGGAGAGAGAGGATGGAAGGCGGGGAAATGCCAGGAATTTTTCTCTCAGGAAGCAGAGGGCGCCTGGCTTCAGTGCCACCCACTCAGCTGCCTCAGCAGAAGGGCCGCGCTGCCTGGGATGGGGGTGCTGGGGCGCGCGAGTCTCTGGCCCCCTCTGATTTCTCTCTCTGGGGCCCTGCACCCTGATGCACCTGCTGGGTGGCATATGCAGACTTGCAGGCTGGAGCTGCTTCCCTGTCCCTGAGCCGGGGTCTCGGAGGTCAGGCTCGCTCTTGGTGATTATGTCATTTAATCTGTGCACTCAGCTGACGGACATTACTGAAGGCTTGAGAAGCGTCTATGAGCAGGATGTCATGTAGGGCAGGAGGGCTGTGGGGATGGAGAGGTCTGGACCTACCTGGTACCTTGGAGGTGTGTTTGCCCACGTTTCTCCCTGTGCTGTATTTGTCCCTTGGACATCGAAGGACAGCGAGGCTGGGGTGTTAGTGGGCCACCCATCTCCCTCAGCATGTGTGCACACCTGTGCCGCCTGACCAAGCTGAGCATGTTGGTGACACTGAGAGGCTGTACTTGTCTGTTGCTGTTCCTTTCTTTGAAGCCTGTCTGTCTTGGGAAAAGCAAGCGGGCCCAGGGAGAGTGGTGGAGCTGTGTTTGGGTCCTGGGCATCCGAGGGCCACAGCTAGTCTGTTGAGGCCACCGGTGAGAGGGAGTGTCCTCAGGGGCTGTGGCCTCTGTAGGTCTCCTTGCTAGGAGCCACAGAGCTCATTTCTTCTCTTCTTGGAGGTGTGTGAGGAGACGCAGCAGCTGTCACCAAGACATCTCGTGACTGGGCATGACACTGCCCAGCAGCTCAGCTGAGTCCTTGGCTGATGGGAAAGAGCCTGACAGCCCTTTCTGACCTTGTGTTATGTGACACTTGTAACCCAGATGGGCGGCTGGGCGGAGCCTGGCTGTGCACAGGAAGCTGGGGCTCTTGGCCAGGGATTATTCTCAGGCTTCTCCTTCTCCCAGGACACTGAGGCTGGGGGTATGGAGCCCCACACAGAGATAGTCCCTCGCTGGGATTGTAAGGGACACACCTGGTGGAGGGCAGGCCTGAAGCCCAGCCCGTGGTCCCCTTTCAGCCCGTGGTCCCCTTCTGCTGAATCTTATTTTCACTTGTCTTCCTCTAAGTCCATCACGTGCGTGGGTTTGAAAGGCTGTGTGTTTGTGTGTGTGTGTGTATGTGTGTGTGTGTGTGTGTGTGTGTCTGTGTGTGAGTGTGTAAATGTGTGTGTGCATTGGGGAGGGATATTGGGAAAAGAGAATGATGAAAGGGAGAGAGAGAATATTCTAGAGAGAGGCAGAGAGAGCTGTGTATATACCACAGGGCAGAGCAATGGAAAGGGCCGCAGTGAGAAGCCAAGGGCCGAGGGGTAGAAATGATTCTCTCAAGGTTGGGGACAGGGCCAGGACAAAGGACGTCATTTCCTGACTCTTTCCCTTTGTCCTTTAAACTGCTGGAATGTGAAGAAACACAGGGGACTGGAAGGGCCGTGGAGCCCCAGTGTGGGGTTTGGGCTGGCTCCGGTGGCCCAGCCCTGGCCACCGGGCCACTTGCTCTGTCTGTGGCATGTCCCGCAGGGCTGCCCCATCCACTCACTCCAGGTGTCCTCCTTTTTCCCTTTGGCACAGTGCGCTCCCCTCCAGGTCTGGCCAAGACACCCCTATCTGCTCTGGGCCTGAAACCCCACAACCCAGCGGACATCTTGTTGCACCCCACAGGCGGTGAGTGACTGGCTGGGTGGACGTGGTGCGGGAGGCCGCGGGGCAGGACCCTGAGGCCTGGGCTGGAGATCTCAATGGAGGCTCCTGGACGCTCTGGACAGGAGAGGGAGCGGGCTCTGTGCCACTCTGAGGTCAGGCCTCAGGGCCCTCTGTGCAGGGGTCAAGGTGACACATCCCTTGGCCATCTTCCTGCCCATGTGGCCCCTGTGGACTTTGGGATTTGGAGGCCTGGCCTCGGTTTCCTTGGACTCGGCCTGCTGTCTGCTGGGAGCCTGGCTCCCCGGTCCCTAGTGTGCTCTGAGCATTCTCGAGATGTCAGAGGCCACCCTGCACTCAGGGTGTTCTCCTGGTCTGCCTCTGTGGCTCACAAACCTCCGCCTGAGAACTCATGACTCAGTGGCAGCCATTGCTGTCTGCCCCTCCCCAGTCCTCTCCCCCTTGGCCCTGGGTCTCTCTGGCCTGTCCAAGGCCTTGCTGGTCTCCTTGTCCAAACTCCTCATACTGGTAGCCTTTGACCCTGCTGTTAAGGACCAGAGCCAGGCTACCTGGCTGCTCCCTCCTGTCTGGGCTCCAGCACCGTCCTGTCTCTGTAGGAGAAAGTGGGCCTCCTCAGGCTGTCCTCTGGAGCAGGTGCTCGGGGTCATGCCTCCCACCTCCTGTCCCACCTCCCACTTCCTCTCCTTCCTGTGGGGTGGGGGATGGAGACAGTGGGGGCCCTGGGCTCTGAGTGGCAAGATGGAGCCAGTTCAGTCCAGAAAACTACTTCTAGACGCTGGTTTCAGGGCGGAGCTGGGTCTTGGGGTCAACTTTAACCTTCTCTCCTTAGCCACCAGGAGACTGGTCCAGCCAGGTAGGAAGGCAATGGCATGTATTTGTGACCCACACAGACACTGGCTCCCACGCAGGAGGTCACTCCTGACCAGCATGGCTAGGGACACTGAGCCACGGGAGGGGAAGGGGGCTGGGGCTGCCTTTCACCTGCCAGCACATGGCTTCTCGAGACTCGGCCCACATGAGCCCTGGCCGCAGGCGCTGGGAGAGGGACAGGCTCCTGCGTCAGTGTCTAAACTGCACCCTGGCCTCCTGGGGTCCTGCACAGGGTGGGCCTCAGCCTTCCCCTGAGCTCTTTGTGGAGAGTCCAGCTCTTTCTTGGCCTCGGCCTCCTTCACTCAGCCGATTCCTTCTCTAGGAACAATCCCTGTTAACCAGTCTCTCTCCTTCTCTCTTCCCCCCTCTCCCCGATGGTTCTTCCTCCCATCTCCGTCACCTGCCCCTCTTTCCTGCCTCTTCTTCTTGCCTGCCTTCTCCTCTTCCCTCAGAGGAAGACGAGGGGAGGGAGCTGGCTAAGCTTCCAGAAGGTAAGTGCGGCTGGTGTGTGGCTGCTCCCGTGCTCTGGGTCTGGGAATGGCTTGTCACGCATGGTGGCTCAGGGACAGCTCTCTTTTCTTACCTGGTCTCAAGTGACCAGGCACATGGCCTTCCTGTCCCCGCTCCCTGACAATGAAATATCACCCTGGGCACCACCTGAATCCTGTCTGGGGAGCTGGGAGCCACTGGGCGCTGGTTCAGGCACAGCCAGTGTCCAGGCGCCAGCTGGTGCCAGTTTGTGGACAAAAACATCTCTCTTGTCACTTCCTCTGCCAGTGGCTTTGTGCCCGCCTGCCTGGTGTACAGCCACGCAGAGGGGTCTGGAGGGGTCTGTCCGAGCCGGGCTTCTGGCCCTGTGGCCATGGTGGGCGGACAGTTCCTGGCTGTTGGGCTTCCTGTGCACTGAAGGGCGGTTGGCAGCATCTCTGGCTTCTACCTACTGGGTGCCAGTAGCAGCACCCAGCCATGACAGTTGAAGATATCTCCAACATGGCCAGTGTCCCCTGGGGGAGTTGTCCCTGATTCAGAGCCACTGTCATAGATTCACAACTTGCCTCCAGGAAGGCCCTATCCACACAGACAGCAGGAAGTCTGTCTTTCTGACATCTCAGATGCCTTTGGGAATGTCAGGAAAGCTGTGGACTCACCTGCCACAGTAGGGCAGTGGGACACCCATGCACAATGTTCTGAAGAGTTGGGTGTGGTGGCTAATCCCAGCAGCTCAGGAGGCTGAGGCAGGAGGGTCGCAAGTTCAAAGCCAGCCTCAGCAACTTAGTGAGACCCTGTCTCAAAATAAAATATTAAAAAAGCCTGAGGATGTGGCTCAGGGTTCAACCCTGGTGTATAAAGAAAAGAATTTCAAGGAGTTGCAGGCCATGGGGCCCCGGCCTCCCCCTGATTAGGATGAGCCTGTCCTTGCATTGTGACCAGCAGGCAGAGAGGGAACACAGTCTGGTGGAAGGCCTTTGATCCACTAGGGACAGAACTCAGATGAGGACTTGGTGCAGTGGGTGAGATGAGGGGGGTGTTTCTCTAGGGACTCTGTGTGGTTCTCCGGGGCCACTGTCCTTTGTACACATCACATCGGTTTCCAACCCCAAAGCCAGCCAGACCTGTCTGAATCTGCCCTCACCAGGTCAGGCGGTTGGAGAAAGCTTTGCTCCTATCTAACCAGCTTGAGTTTGGGTGGCATCCTGGGATGCTTGGGCGTGGCGTAGGTCCTGGGGCTGCAGTGTGCTCCTGTCTGTGGGACCGGCCACTCTGTGCCCCTCCCCAGCCTCATACCTGGGAAGGGGCTGTCTCTCGGGCTGGAGGCCAACTTGCTGGTTCTCAGAAATGCCGGTGCAGCTGGGGCTGGGGCGGCTGGCCACGAGCCGGGCCGTGGCTCTGCTCTCTGATGGCGCAGCTGGCTCTCGGTCCCCCGGCGTTGGCAGGCTCGGGCGCACAGGTGGGCTGTCAGGTGAGAAGTCCCCAGCGGCATCATCCTCTGGGCTGACAGGCCTGGCTGCTGTGGCTCCCACTTGAGCCCCGCCAAGTGTGCCTGTGAATGACCCTCAGCTTAGGAGCTGCAAGTCCCCCACCCCTGCGTCTGTCCAGAGCCACAGAATTGGGAGGGGACGGTTCCTAGGGATCAAGACAGCCGTGCCCACACCTGCCATCATCCAGGACGTGGAGCTGAGGTCTGTTGGGGGGGGGGGCAGGGGGATCTGCCCAAGGTCACATTTGGGAACTTGGGAGGTGACAGAACCAAACTGGGGTTGGGCCTCCTGTCAAGTGGCCATTTCAAGCCCTCCCCTGCCTCCAGGCCCAGGCTCCAGGATTGCAGCCTGGGAGCCGGAATAGCTGCCCGGGCAGTGGGCCAGGGGGGCAGGGCAAGGCTGTGGCGACCTGTTGCGCGTTTCCTGACCCAGGCAGCACCTCCTTGCTGACCCTTGGAAGCTCTGCTTGACTTCCCTGCTGACACTGTAAAGGGAAATTCAGAAAAAGAAGTCTGGGGGGTGGGGGAAATGATGAGTGGGAGAATTATTCAGCTGGAGGAAATGAAGAATTCGGGGGACATTTGTTCTGTTCATCACTGTGCTAAATATATTCATGCATTCTTTGATTTGTTGATTCAAAAAATATTTTGTGTTCCTATTGTGTACCAGAACTCTGCCAGGCTCTGGGGACATAACGATAAGCAGTATGAGACATGGTTTCTAATCTCACGGAGCCTAGGCATGAACAGGAGCCAGAATTATGAATTAAGTGCTTTGGAGGAAAGGGATACAGTTTTATGAGACCTCATGGCAAAGAACATGACCCAGGTTGAAAAAGTAAGATGGAGAGGTGAGTTGCACAGACCTGGTAAAACTCAGATGTGAGGAGAGCAGAGGGAAATGGCATGTACAAAGGCCCTGGGGTGGGAGGGAATAGCATGTCGATAGCAGGTGCAAAGTCCCGAGGGAGGAAGTGACAGTGTGTTTTTTCTAGGAACAGAGAAGTCAGGAGGCTGGAGCACAGGGCCAGAGGGTGTTTGGTATGGAGTGAGGTTGAACAGGCAGGAGCCAGGCCACAGAAGTCATTGTCATCACAGCAGTGCTGAAAGGAAGGTAGAGCAACCCATTTTATCAACCAGGGAGGTTAGATGACCCGCCCAGGCCCACAGTTGTCAGGGGCACAGCTTAGCGCTGACGCAGGATCAGGGAGTGGAGGCTGCTCCTTTCCAATTGACTGCGCTGGGTGTAAGGGACACTTCGACATTTGAATGGTGACTTCACTGGGCGTGGGGCCCCAGGGCCCTTCTCCTTGAGAGAAGGAGGGGAGGAAGCACTGAGGGAGGAGCACAGGTGGACATTAGGATTGGCCTCTCCAGCAGGGGACGTTCAGGGTAGGCTCTCAGAGCCAGTGATCTTGGTACCAAGGAAGACGGGGACTAGGAGTGACCTCTGGGATGCTTGTTATGGGTGTCCTGGGGCAGAGCCTCTGATGCAGATTTATTGAGCACATACTACGTGCCAGGCCCTGTGCCTTTACAACTGAGGATATGAAGATGGAGTGCGGCACCCCGGGGAGGGCGGAGACCCCAGCAGGTAGGCAGAAGGGCTGAGCCGGGCAGGTGGGTATCATGGGGGGTGTGGAGGATCTGCAGCATGGTCAGAAGGGTCTAAACTTTTAACTCTGTGCTGTTGGATATGGGACTCAGTGGGGTCTAATCCTCCTTCTCCAAAACCTACGTGTCTTTTCCCCCACTGTGTGCTGAGGTGGGACCCCAGGCACTGGCATACACTGGGCAGGAGCCCTGCCCTGCCACTGAGCCACACCCCAGCCCCCGGGGGCCCTTCTGCTCAGCTGGAGTTTGGGGGAAGTAGAAACTGCCCTTGAGGGTGTCAGGAGGAGCCTGCAGCAGCCACTTGGAGTGGGTTTGGGCTCCTGGAATGTTCTACAGCAGTACCCTGCCCGGCCCCACCTCTCCCGCCCTTCCCAACTCCTTTGCCTGGGGTGGGCTGGAGTGGAGGCCGGGGCTCAGGGTAGGGCGGGCGGGGCCCAAACTGGAATAGCAAGAAGGCATCCAAGGAGCTCTCCTGTGAGTCCAGGAGAGCGCGCTGGGGGGGGGTGTCGTCCCCACTTTACAGATGAGAGACACGCGTGGAGAAGGGCTCCGTGGGTGACAGAAGGGGCGGGGCAGCCTGCTGTGCTGTGGGAAGGACGGGGAAGCCGAGGCAGAGACAGAAAAGGCGGCCTTGGAGGTGGCCCCCGGGTCTGAAGGCTGGGAAACCCACGTCTGGCTCCTAGCACTGGTTTTGGAGGTGAACTCCCTAGGGCCCCTGCTCTCTGGGTCCCGGAGCACAGAGGTGGCTGGGAGGGCCTCGCCCATCCTGACCCCTGGTTTGGGACTGAGGGACAGGAAGGAGGGGGGCAGAGGATGGGCGCAGGGCATGGGTGGGGCAGGTCCCTGAATGGCCTCGCTGTTTCCTGACTGTGGCAGGCACACAGGCTGCGGCCTCTGTCTGGTAAGCGGTTCTGTCCCGGAGTTCTGGCGCCTAGTCCTAGAAGCTGAGGGATCGTGCCATGTCAGGCCTGGGTCTACCTCAGAAGGAGGCTGCAGTTAGGCAACACAACGCCCCTGCCAACACCCCTTTCCCCAGTGGGGGGCTTTCTCGGGCTTGGGGAGGGGGTTTGCATTAGTTGCCCCAATCCCAGTCCTCACACCCCCGTGGCCAGCTTGGGCTCTGACGCACGGTCCCGCCAGCCCTCTGTTGTCACCTTCCCCACTCACAGCTCATGCTGGAAGAAGGCAGTGGACTAGCAGGCCACCGGGGGTCAGCCACCAGGGGCCCAGGCTCATCCTGCTGTTGGACCTTCTCTGAAGCAGGGTGGAGGGTGATTGAGCTGCTTACCCAGAGTGTGGGCCAAGGTCTTGGCAAACCACTATGGCGTCCGAGGAGAGTTGAGCCAGGGTTACAAAGTCTGGGCAAACCAGGGAGAGCGCCCCGGGCACAGGAGGGGGCCGTCCCCAGCCAGCCTTGAAGGAACAGGGGAGGGCTGGAGAGAGCCACTGGGGCTGTGGCCGTGGGTACAGGGATGCAGCCACCGGCCCCTGCCTCCCACCCTCTCATCTCCTGCCAGACCCCCTGTGCCTCACCCAGAGCCATTGGAGCCACAGGGCAGGGGCCTGGTGGGCAGTAGGTGAAGCCAGCACTAGGGAGGCCAAAGAGTGGGACAGTGGCTGAGGATGGAGAGAGGGTCAGAGAAGAGGACAGACCCGCAGGGCTCACCGGTGCAGGCTTCACCTTGAACTCCAGGGAGCGAGAAGACCAAGTGCGACTTCTCGGGCCCCTGGTCTCCCTCTGTGGGAACGGACTGCAGGGTGAGCTTGTGGGTCGGAGTTCGTGGGACAGGCACGTGCCGAGGCCTGCTGTGTGCCAGGTGCTGTGTGGGGCACGGGGAACACCCATGAGCCCTGTCCCCCTTGCTGTCCCTGGGTGGGAGAGGACAGGTGCCGCGTGCTGCAGGGACCTGAGCGAGGCATGCTGAGCACCCAGAAGGGCCCGGGAAGCTGTGGAGCGGCCTGAGGCGGTGAGGGATGAGCAGGGAGGACCCTGGCCTGGGTGTCCTTCACTTTTCTCTGGGTGAGACTCTCTGATGGTCCCTTTGCCATGGGGGTTACTAGCCCAGGACAAGGAGCCAGTTCCTCAAGACCAAAGCCACCCCGAAACCCGTGGGCTCCCGAGTTCAGACCATCATATGTGCTGTGGGTCAGGTGGCCTCTGGGCCCCTCCCAGGTTCCCAAGCTGGCTCTGCCACCTGCTAGCCGTGTGGCCAGTGCACTGTACTCACATCCTTCAGATCCTGCTTCCCTCACATGGCTGCTATTTTTGTAATTATGCATAGCTCTCAGATGGCACTCCTTTGGCTGGTGGCTGGCATGCTGGATAGCAGCCAGCTCTAGATGTCCCCAAGAGACAGTGGTCCTGTTGTAGTCCACCCCTAATGACACTCTGAATGTGGAGACTGGGATGCTGGTGTCCACGGACATGCACTGGCTGTGTGTTCTGGACAAATTTGCTCCACCTCTCTGGGCTTAGGAGACAGGTTAGATAGATCAAGGGTCAGCAAACTCTGGCAGCCAGCCAGGTCCTGCCTGCCAACTATTTTTGTGAGAAAAATTCTGTTGCAACATAGTCATCTCCATGCCTTGAGCTATTGTCTCCAGATGCTTTCAGGCTACACAGATGGACTGCGTACTTGCGACAGAGGCCCTCTGATCTGCCCCGCCTTAGATGTTTACTAGGGGGACCTTTACAAACCAGCCTGGATCAGAGAGGCCTCTGCAGGGCCTGGGGCTGCAGAGTGGAGAACCCAGCCTCCTTTGTTCTGTTGGCCTGGGGCTCCCAGGAGGTGTGGTGGCTTGGGCTGCTTAGGGAGGCCTTGCTGGCTCTGCCCACCGCTGGACTCCAGCTTGGGGGCCCAGGTGACTGGTCCTGTGGCAGCCTGGGATAGACCACCCTCCCCACCCCTCTGCAGACATACTGCCTCCCCCCACCACAGGCTCAGGACCCCCTCTGCGAAGGGCCCTGGCCTGAAGGGTCACCCTTCTCTGTGTCCATGGCGGCCAGTGTGCCATGTCAGGCCTGGGCCTACCTCAGAAGGAGGCTGCAGTTAGGCAACACAACGCCCCTGCCAACACCCCTTTCCCCAGTGGGGGGCTTTCTCGGGCTTGGGGAGGGGGTTTGCATTAGTTGCCCCAACCCCAGTCCTCACACCCCCGAGGGACCCAGGGGAGGGGCACTTCTCCCACTCGGTGACCATGACCAACTTGGTCAGCAAGGGCTGCAAGGGCCTCTTCAGGGCCGCATGGACTCTGGCCCCAAAGTGTCTCAGGCTGGTCTCCGCGGATGCCCTAGGTATGACAGAGTTGGGGCCTGTGCTCAGGCCTCGTCCCTTCTGGGTGGGACAGGGACGGTGCCAGGTTTGCAGGCGGTGGCATGTCCTCTGTCCCTGTTCACGTCCCTGGAGGACTGAGTGCCCCGCCTCCTCTTGCTGTTTAATATTGAGCTGGTTTCAGAGCTGGCCTCAGAGGTGATGGAGGGAGTCAGACGAGCCCTGACCTGGGAGTCAGGGGCCCTGGGTCCCGGCTGTGCGTCCATCATGTCACTGTCCCAGCCTCAGTCTCCTCATCTGTAAAATGGCCTTTCTGGCTCTTCCCCCTCCCTCCTCTTCTGACTGGGAGTTTTGTATTCTAACCTTGGATCCTGTGTACAAATGTCCTCTCTGAACTGCCCAGTGCTGTGGGAGTGCCACAGATGCGCAGACAGTGTCCAGCTCCGCCTGGGGACTGTTTGTCTGGTGTCCATCTCTTGAGAAATGCTAAGTGCGTCAGGCAGAGACGGTGGGCGTGTCTTGGTATCCAGGCCTCAGCAGACCCAGGTCTGTTGCTAGGTGAGCAAGCCTGTGTCTGACTCCAGGCGTGGGGAGGACCCCAGTGCTGTCCCGGGACACGGGCCAGGTCAGATGCAGCTCCGGGTCCACTCTGGTGTCTGGGAGCCTGGAAGGGCCTGGGTAGCAGGGTCAGCAAAGGGGATGCCATTCATGGACAGATGGCCTGGTTCTTGGGTGGACGAGTCTCTGATGGCCTTGGTGCAGGGGTGGAGTTTGGGGCTCATTCCTGGAAAGGTTCTTGAGTCAGGCTCTGGTTAAAGGTTGTCTTGGGACAGGGTGGGTGTGGGCAGGCAGGAGCCCCCGGTCAAGTGTCCTGATGTCTTTTGGGGGCTGTTCCTGTGCTGTCTTTCCCCAGTCTGCTTTGGGTGGCTGTGTCCCTGGCAGGTTGGGAGGTCCCACACTGCACCTCTGGGGATCTATGCTCAGTCTCTGTCCTGCTCCTTCCAGAAGCCCGGAGCTACGTGGAGTCTGTGGCACGGACGGCAGTGGCTGGGCCCCGACCTCAGGATGCTGAACCCAAGAGCTTCAGTGCCCCAGCTGCCCAGGCCTATGGCCACGAGACGCCCCTGAGGAATGGGACCCTGGGCAGCTCCTTTGTCTCCCCCAGCCCTCTGTCCACCAGCAGCCCCATCCTCAGCGCCGATAGGTAAGTCCAGGTGGGAAGACTTGGGGATGAGAATCGTGGCCGGGGATGGGACAGCTAGGCCTCTTGGATCTTCCTAGGGTGTGGGCACAGAGAAGTCACATCCGGTCCACAGCACTTTGCAGACCCCTTCAGGGCATCTTGAGAGCGCTTCCCCTGCGTGCCGGACCTTAGGGGGAGCCCGGAAGTGAGTAAGCGGTCATTCCCCCAGCAGTGGTGGCAGGAGGAAGTGTGCCAGGTGAAGGAGGCCTTCCCCAGGTCTAACGTCTCAGGACAATGAGGATCAGGCAGTGGGTGTTTGCGGGAGGCCAGGCACTTTGCTGAAAGCTTTGTGCAGATGTGGAACCTTCACAGTGGTCCCAGGAGGCAAGCCCCAGGGTCCCCACTTTCTAGAAGAGACAACTGAAGCACAGAAGTGGTTTCCTAAGCTGAGCAGTAGCAGGGATAGACTTGAGGCCCAAGTGTGTGGTTCCGGGGCCCATGTCGCCCACGTCGCAATCTCCTCCCCAGACCACTGTGGTGCACGCCCTTCGCTGGCTGGGAGCCAGGCCTTCAAGAGCTGACGGAGAAGTAAAGTGCTTGGAGCTCAGAGCGAGGGGCCATTATCTTGGTCTAGGAAAGCAGAAGGGTCCCTGAGGGCTGCAACTCTTTGTGGGCAATCCAGAGGGGTGAGCAGGATGTGGAGGGGCGAAGGAGGGAGAGCATTTTGAAGGACAGCACAGGAAGATGCAGGGTTAGCGTGGGGCGTGCAGGTGGAGGAGAGGGGAGGCGTCCTGATGCACGGCCAGCTGACACCCATCGTCCGAGTGCATCCGGCACAGAGGAGGGCTGGGCAGTCCCTGCTCACAGGCTCAGTAGAGGGACGGCTGATGTGGGGTGCGCTGAGAAGCTGGTGTGGGGGAGGGAAGACTTCAGGCCCCGGGGAGGGGAAAACAGCCCATGAAAGGCAGCTTGAGACCAGCTTGGGCAAGGCCTGGAGTGCAGATGCGGGGGGGGGGGGGGCGGGGTGGGGGGGCAGCGCTGGCCTCATGGAGGACCTAATGCCTCTCTCTCCCTTTCTGAGCCCACTCCCCTCCCTGCGCTGCCTTCCCAGGGGCCCTCAAACATCCCAGCCCCCCCCCCATTTCTGCCGCCGGCCCTACCTACGCTGGCTCAGGGGTGGGGGCTTGGTGAGCGGAGGCAGCTTGCCTCTGGAGCCAAACGTGCACCCCAACCCAGCCTGCCTGCCCAGCCTCCTGACAGGCTCACAGCGGCTCAGGAGGCCTGGCCCCTGCAGAGGGCGTGCTCCCTGTTCAAGGGACAGGGATTTCGCCCTGCGCTGTGGCCCACAGAGGGAGCCCCGGGCAGGGAACTTCTCCCACATTCTTCCTGATGCCCCGTTGGCCCCTCTCAGGACTCTGGAAGCCGGTGTCTGTGCCCTGAGATTCATCTTCTAGAACTCCATGTCAGCATCCCTCGCCCCGCCCTGCTCTGCCTGCTGCATCCTCAGAAGCCAGTTTTTTCCCTCCTGGGAAACGACCTTCTGCTCTGGCCCCTTCTGGGGTGCAAGGCAGGCTGTGTCCTGGCCTGTCCCCTGCCTGTCTCCCTGCTCGTGGTTCTAGTCTGCCCCCAGAGCACAGTCCCACCCAAACCTCCTCGCACCCGGAGCCCCAGCCAGTCCCACCCAGCCGGGGAGGCTGAGCAGCGGAGAGCTTGGGGACTTGGGCCCCTGGCTGTGTGAGGACCCCTTCCCTCCCTGGGGACTCCTGGCCCAGCCCGCCTGCCATCTCCCTACGGCTGCTGCTTACCCACGTCCCTGTCGACCTCTGTCTCTACTGCCACACTCTAGATGGGTAGCGGTGCGGGCCTGAAGGAGCAGGTCATCCGTCAGCCCCTCATGGCCCCCTAGGAAAACACGAATAAGGAGAATCCCTGCTCCCCAGCTCACAGGTCACGGCGGTGCGGGCCTGCTCCCCCGTGTCACTCCCTAGGGGCCTGCACTGCCCTTCACAGTGGAGCCCTGAACTGTGGCAATTATACTCCAGGCACGGTCCCATACGAACTGAATTTTGTCAGGATCTTAGAATTGGGAGTGACCTTGAGCTCATGGACTCTAACCTCCCTATGGAGGACCTTCCCTATGCAGCCTTTAGACCCATAAGTCCCTCAGCCTCTGCTTAAGTTCTCCTAGTGATGGGAGGATCATTACCACTCAGGGCAGTTTGTTCCATTAGTGGCCAGATCCGATGCCCGGAGAGCAGACCCTATAATGAGCTGAAATCCCTGCTCTGGAACTTCCCCCTTGATTCCCTTCCTTCCTTCCCTCCTTTTTGTTTTGAACCAACCAGGAGTAGAAGCCCAGTCCTGCCTGCTCAGGGCTTATGATGACAGCAAACCCAGAGACACAGTCAGGAGGCCCTCATAGGAATGGGAGCCAGGTGGTTTGCCTCCCTCTCCAGAGTGAGTTTCTGTGATGCCGGAGGCTTCAACAGGACGCCACCTTCAACTTTCATGAGGGAGATTTCTTGGCTTATGGCTCAGTAGTCAGCAGAGTGCTGTGGGAAAATGTAGGCTTTGGAAGCAGACCCAGCTGAGTTGAAACCCCAGGCTTTTATGAACTGTGTGGTCCCGAGTTTACTGTTGAACCTCTCTGACCTTCAGTTTCTTCTTCTGATGGATCCATGAGGTGATATAAAAGCCCTGACTCTGGCCGACTGCAAGTGGAGCTATTATGGTTGCTATTAGTGGTTGGAAGGAAGCTGGGTACTTCCCTCAAGGACCACCCCCCTTCATTAACTGCCATTTGCTGACCTCTCAATCTGTCCTCTCTCTAGCACTTCAGTGGGGAGTTTCCCATCAGGGGAGAGCAGCGACCAGGGCCCGCGGACACCCACCCAGCCCTTGTTGGATTCCAGCTTCCGCTCCGGCATCCTGGGGCAGCCCAGCCCTGTGGCCCAGAGAAGTTACCAGAGCTCTTCTCCCCTCCCGACCGTGGGCAGCAACTACAGCAGCCCCGACTCCTCACTTCAGCAATTCAGCCCCGCAGAAAGCCAGCCCCGCTCTCAGTTCAGTGTGGCCAGTGTCCACACGGTGCCCGGGAGCCCTCAGGCCCGCCACAGGACAGTGGGCACCAACACGCCCCCTAGTCCTGGCTTCGGCCGGCGGGCCGTCAACCCCAGCATGGCTGCTCCTGGCAGTCCCAGTTTGAGCCACCGCCAGGTCATGGGTCCACCTGGCCCTGGTTTCCATGGCAACACCGTTTCCAGCCACCAAAGCAGTGCGGCCACCACCCCAGGGAGCCCCAGCCTGGGCCGGCACCCCGGGGCCCACCAAGGCAACCTGACCCCCAGTCTCCATGGCAACGCAGTGGCCAGCCCTGGCAGCCCCAGCCTGGGCCGTCACCTGGGAGGGTCTGGATCCATGGTTCCTGGCAGCCCCAGCTTGGACCGGCACGTGGCCTACGGTGGCTACTCCACCCCTGAGGACCGGAGGCCCGCGCTGTCCCGACAGAGCAGCGCTTCCGGCTACCAGCCCCCGTCCACACCCTCCTTCCCTCTCTCCCCTGCCTACTACCCGGGCCTGAGCAGCCCCACCACCTCCCCCTCCCCGGATTCTGCGGCCTTCCGGCAGGGGAGCCCCACACCGGCCCTGCCAGAGAAGCGGAGGATGTCCGTGGGCGACCGGGCAGGCAGCCTCCCCAACTACGCCACCATCAATGGGAAGGTGTCCTCCTCGCCGGTGGCCAGTGGCATGTCCAGTCCCAGTGGGGGCAGCACTGTCTCCTTCTCCCACACGCTGCCCGACTTCTCCAAGTACTCCATGCCAGGTGGGCCTCCCCTCCCGTGTCCACCTCTCCTGGGGATGAGCTGAGTCCAGGAGTTAGGATATCTGTCCTCCTCTCGGTTCTGACAATCCCTTTGCAGACAACCCTGGGGGTGGGTGGCCGACTGTTGGGCCTCAGTTCAGGGTGAGGATGAGGATGAGGTTGACGGACATGATAGCATTACTCTTAGGCACCCGCACCTTCAAGCCACTTGTGAGCATGTACTCTGTGCTAGCCTCTGGCCTAAGTACTATCTCACTTAATCCTTATGACCTCCCCCCACCCCCCAGGAAGGTACAATTACTCCTTTTTACCCAGGAGCAAACTCAGGATTCCAGAGGCTCTGTTGTTTGCCCAGCATCCTACAAAGTTAATAAGTGGCAGAGCTAGGTAGGCTTCCAGTCCAGGCCTGTATTACCCCCCAAACTAATGCTCTTTAGGCATTATTGGAGTTGTCTTTATCATGTGGCCATATCTTGAGGGCTATTGTGATCTAGCATGACTTTGAAAGGGGTGCCTTCCAAACCTGTGCCTCGCTTCCTTTGGTCAGCCCCAGGTGCGCACATCGCTCCGAACAGATCTGGCAGCCAGATAGGATGTGGACTGGGGCTGATTGACACGGGGGGGTTTTTACCAAGGCTTGGTTTCTGCAGTGCCTGTTGAATTCCTCACTCATCCCTAGGACTTGGCTCATTATCTAAACCCAAAGGTCAAGGCCTCAGGAGACCTGCAGTTTCTCAAGCAGACTGGAACCTGTCTGCATGCAGGGTCGCCCCAGGCGATCAAAGCAGATTGGGAATATTTCAGGCAGCTTAGGATGGGGCCCAGCTGCCCTGATCCCCCGTGTCACTCCTAGGTCCTGTACTGGGCCTGACAAGCTGCGACACCTAGAGTGACCCTGCACCCCCCTGCTTCCTGCCGCCCACTGGGGACATCTGGTTCCCAGTCCCTCTCCTTGAAGGAGGCAAAACTTGGAGTAGTTGGACACTTCCTGTTTCCCACCATCTTCCCTGCTTAAAATAGTTGTGGAGTCAACACAGGAAGGCTTAGGGGGCTGCAGCCACCTCTGACAGCTTGTTAACCAAGCAGGGCCTGGGTCTCCAGAGCAGGGACAGGAGGGCAATAGTTGTGGGGCCCAGCCCCTCCCCAGGCGTCCTGCATCCGGCTGTCGGGAGAGTAGCTGTCCCCTCCCAGCCCTCCAGAGACAGGCCCCTAGGCCCAGGGAGCCTGAACCACAGTGGAAATTGACTCAGCCCTGGAGTCTCGGCTGGGGCCCTCCTTAGCTGACAGTGTCCTTAGCGCAGGGCCTCGGCTCCAGGCTCTGAAGACAGGGGAGGGAGGTGTGGGGTGGAAGGTCCCTCTCTCCTCTGCTTTCCTTTTGTTTCTTTGGTGCCCAAAGGTGAAGGAGCAGAACAGTGAGAAGGGTTCTGTGCTAGGGTTCTGCGGCACAGCGTGGCTTCTCTGGTTTACAAAACCCGATGGGATCTGAGGAACTGAAGAAATGATAAGAGGCAGAGGTGACCATCCCCTGCCTGGGACAGTGCTCGCCGGGTGCATGTTTGAAATGTGGTGCTGTATTCCAGAAATTCACACAATAGGACCTGCTGATAAGGAACAAGGATGAGGAAAGAGGCCGGAAAGCGAGGGCCCCACACCCCAACCCCTGACCCAGAAGCTGTGCTGGGGCCGGTGCTCACCTGGCCCCAGGGTCTCTCTGTGGGTCACCATCTGTAACCCACCAAGCCACTCTCCCTCCAAGCCTGTCTCCTGATTGTAAAACTGCACAGCGGAACCCAGTTGTCTGAGCTGCCCCAGAACATAGCACCCCAGGAGAGATCCCCAGGCCTGCTAAGGAGCTGGGTGGAGGGATCACAGCCGAGAAAGCTGGCCTGGCGACACCCTGCGGAGAGCCTCTAGGCCCTAGGCCAGTCCCTCATACTTGTCCCAGGGTTGGAGTGATTTTTTGCCCTGTGTGATTGCAGAACGCTGGCTTTCCATGTGGGAAAGAGGAGGGGGATCAGGAAGAGAGGACAGAAAGGGGCCTTCCTGCCCTTGTCATCTGCAAAGCCGCAGTTGGGAGGCTGAGCCTGTGGGGAAGGGGGAAGGGTGGGTCTTAGCTGTGTGGGGAATCTGCTAGGGGACGGGTGCTGGGAGCAGGGCAGGCTCTGGGTTGGCTCTGTGGGATGCCCAGCAGGCAGTGGGTGAGTGAGAAGTCCCTGCTCTGTCCCTTCCTGCTGTGCTCTGTGATGTTTGAGGACACTACTTTCTGTGTCCCCCTGGGTATAAAGTACCATATTCTTGTTGGCTTAAAATAGCAGAAATGGGGCAGAGGCCAGGAGTCCAGCACCCAGCTTGGTCCCTGGTGGGGTTCCGAGGGACCATGGGCTCCAGGCTTGCCACGTCCCCCTGGGTCTGGAGGTCCTTGGTGTTCCTTGGCTTGTGGCTGTGCCAGCCCGTGTGGCTCCCTCTTCACATGGAGCTGTCTCCACGAGTCTCTGTCTCCTCTTTTGAGGACACATCCTCCTGGACCAGGGCTCTGTCCAGCGTGCCTTCATCTTAATTGGATTCCATGTGCAAAGACCCTCTTTCCAAATAAGGCCCCATTCGTGGGCTTTGAGGGTCAGGACTCATTTCAGCGTCTCTTTTCAGGGAACAGAGTTCAACCCGTAACACTTCCCATTCTTCTTCTCCTGCAGACAACAGTCCCGAGACCCGGGCTAAAGTGAAATTTGTCCAGGACACTTCCAAGTATTGGTACAAGCCTGAGATCTCCAGAGAGCAAGGTGAGTACTGACTGGGTGGTTCTGGTGGTTCTGTGGTCCATAGAGGACAGAGCTGGCTGCTGATCACCATGTCTGACTTGGGCAAGGAACACAGTGCACTCATTCCTCTTTGCAGTAGGTAGTGGTCACAGAGAGGGAGCTGGGATTGAAGTCAGACAGTAAGAAGCACTTCCCACATCAAAGGGAAGGCTGGCAGAGCATTGGTGTGAATTATTTTTGCAAGAGTCCATCGGAGCTTTGGTTTTCCCGGACAAAGTAGGAGGACAGCCAAGATCATATGAAGCCTCAGCTCGCCATCTGTATGATGTGGGAGATTTTTGCATTTTGTAGAAACAAATGAAGTTGTGAATATGGGAATAGAGACGGGGCCCTCTATGGGTTCTCAAGGAACATCTGTGGGGTGTGGGTGTGGCTCAGCAAGGACTGCCTGACAGCCCCACTGGCCCGCTGCTTTGTAAATACAGTTTTATTGGAACAAAGCCACGCCCATTAGTTTACAGACTCTCACTTCCAGCTGCAGCCATAGACTTGAGTATTTTCGACAATCTGCGTGGCCCCCAGTGTTGACTCTCTGGCCATCTCAGCCCAGGAGGGCCCTTGGGAGTGTTTACACTCTGACTTTAAAGAATGTCATCTCATCCAAGAGAAAACAAAGTTCCAGGGGCCCCCAGGGCACTTAGACAGCCAGGGACGCCAATCTCATGTGCCCTCTTCCCTCCTCTGGTGCAGCCATCGCACTCCTTAAGGATCAGGAGCCAGGGGCCTTCGTCATCCGTGACAGCCACTCCTTCCGGGGGGCCTATGGGCTGGCCATGAAGGTGTCTTCGCCCCCTCCGACCATCATGCAGCAGAATAAGAAAGGTGACATCCTCCTCCATAGACTGTGGGATCTTCACGGTGTCTTCAAACCCTGGGGTGCTGGGGGGCCCCAGGGTGCTGAGCAGGACCTAAGTCCCACAGAGCTGGTGCCTGATAAACAGCTCTCCAGAAGAGCGTGCCCTGGGCCTGTGATGGTGGCGTCGGGGAACAGGGAAGCAGGTGTCTGTCCTCTCGGGAGGGGCCGGTGGTGGTCTCTGCAGCCCCTGGCTCCAGCCTCCCCGTCTCTGCGACCCTCTCTCCCACCCCAGCCCCGTGCATTGAAGAAGAGGTAGAGCAGCCTTGGGAGTCCGTGGGGGGACTCTGTGAAAAGTGACCCATTTCTTTCTCTCCATCCCAGGAGATCTGGCCCATGAGTTGGTGAGACATTTCCTAATCGAGACCGGCCCCAGAGGAGTCAAGCTCAAGGGCTGCCCCAATGAGCCGAACTTTGGTGAGCTGCCGCCACCACTGTCCCTGCAGGAGGGGTTCAGCATCTTGCTGAAATGATAAGAGACAGAGGTGCTCATCCCCAAGTTCTCTCCCCCATAATCCTGTGTGGTAGATGGCACCGTCCTTGTTTTGCACAAGGGAACTGTTAGTTAGACTTACCCAAGAAGGCACAGGTAACAAGTGACTGACCTGGGATTCGATCCCACAATTCTCCAATGCTTCTATCCTGTTTTTTGTTTTTTGTTTTTTTTTTTTTTTTAGCGGGGAGGGGTGTGGGGTCATCACTGGAGAGACTTAGAAAAGATGTTAGGAGGAACTGTAAAGGGAAGTTGTTAGGTCACAATATGACTGCTAGAGGGAGTCTTTGGAATCTTCTTCCTTGAGTCTTGCTAAAAAAAAAAAAAAAGGGCATGAATTTTCAGCTCTGAAAATTCGTGGATAAGAGAGAAGTAATCAAGAAGCCGAAAGCTGCGGGTAGCTCCGTAGCTAAGCACACCTGAGGTCCTGGGTTCCATCTCTAGCCACACGCACACACACACACACACACACACACACACACACGGAAAGCTGCGGGTAGCTCCGTAGCTAAGCACACCTGAGGTCCTGGGTTCCATCTCTAGCCACACGCACACACACACACACACACACACACACACACACACGGAAAGCTGCGGGTAGCTCCGTAGCTAAGCACACCTGAGGTCCTGGGTTCCATCTCTAGCCACACGCACACACACACACACACACACACACACACACACACGGAAAGCTGCGGGTAGCTCCGTAGCTAAGCACACCTGAGGTCCTGGGTTCCATCTCTAGCCACACGCACACACACACACACACACACACACACACACACACGGAAAGCTGCGGGTAGCTCCGTAGCTAAGCACACCTGAGGTCCTGGGTTCCATCTCTAGCCACACGCACACACACACACACACACACACACACACACACACGGAAAGCTGCGGGTAGCTCCGTAGCTAAGCACACCTGAGGTCCTGGGTTCCATCTCTAGCCACACGCACACACACACACACACACACACACACACACACACACGGAAAGCTGCGGGTAGCTCCGTAGCTAAGCACACCTGAGGTCCTGGGTTCCATCTCTAGCCACACGCACACACACACACACACACACACACACACACACACGGAAAGCTGCGGGTAGCTCCGTAGCTAAGCACACCTGAGGTCCTGGGTTCCATCTCTAGCCACACGCACACACACACACACACACACACACACACACACACGGAAAGCTGCGGGTAGCTCCGTAGCTAAGCACACCTGAGGTCCTGGGTTCCATCTCTAGCCACACGCACACACACACACACACACACACACACACACACACGGAAAGCTGCGGGTAGCTCCGTAGCTAAGCACACCTGAGGTCCTGGGTTCCATCTCTAGCCACACGCACACACACACACACACACACACACACACACACACGGAAAGCTGCGGGTAGCTCCGTAGCTAAGCACACCTGAGGTCCTGGGTTCCATCTCTAGCCACACGCACACACACACACACACACACACACACACACACACGGAAAGCTGCGGGTAGCTCCGTAGCTAAGCACACCTGAGGTCCTGGGTTCCATCTCTAGCCACACGCACACACACACACACACACACACACACACACACACGGAAAGCTGCGGGTAGCTCCGTAGCTAAGCACACCTGAGGTCCTGGGTTCCATCTCTAGCCACACACACACACACACACACACACACACACACACACACGGAAAGCTGCGGGTAGCTCCGTAGCTAAGCACACCTGAGGTCCTGGGTTCCATCTCTAGCCACACGCACACACACACACACACACACACACACACACACGGAAAGCTGCGGGTAGCTCCGTAGCTAAGCACACCTGAGGTCCTGGGTTCCATCTCTAGCCACACGCACACACACACACACACACACACACACACACACACGGAAAGCTGCGGGTAGCTCCGTAGCTAAGCACACCTGAGGTCCTGGGTTCCATCTCTAGCCACACGCACACACACACACACACACACACACACACACACACGGAAAGCTGCGGGTAGCTCCGTAGCTAAGCACACCTGAGGTCCTGGGTTCCATCTCTAGCCACACGCACACACACACACACACACACACACACACACACACGGAAAGCTGCGGGTAGCTCCGTAGCTAAGCACACCTGAGGTCCTGGGTTCCATCTCTAGCCACACGCACACACACACACACACACACACACACACACACACGGAAAGCTGCGGGTAGCTCCGTAGCTAAGCACACCTGAGGTCCTGGGTTCCATCTCTAGCCACACACACACACACACACACACACACACACACACACACGGAAAGCTGCGGGTAGCTCCGTAGCTAAGCACACCTGAGGTCCTGGGTTCCATCTCTAGCCACACGCACACACACACACACACACACACACACACACACACGGAAAGCTGCGGGTAGCTCCGTAGCTAAGCACACCTGAGGTCCTGGGTTCCATCTCTAGCCACACGCACACACACACACACACACACACACACACACACACGGAAAGCTGCGGGTAGCTCCGTAGCTAAGCACACCTGAGGTCCTGGGTTCCATCTCTAGCCACACGCACACACACACACACACACACACACACACACACACGGAAAGCTGCGGGTAGCTCCGTAGCTAAGCACACCTGAGGTCCTGGGTTCCATCTCTAGCCACACGCACACACACACACACACACACACACACACACACGGAAAGCTGCGGGTAGCTCCGTAGCTAAGCACACCTGAGGTCCTGGGTTCCATCTCTAGCCACACGCACACACACACACACACACACACACACACACACACGGAAAGCTGCGGGTAGCTCCGTAGCTAAGCACACCTGAGGTCCTGGGTTCCATCTCTAGCCACACGCACACACACACACACACACACACACACACACACGGAAAGCTGCGGGTAGCTCCGTAGCTAAGCACACCTGAGGTCCTGGGTTCCATCTCTAGCCACACGCACACACACACACACACACACACACACACACACGGAAAGCTGCGGGTAGCTCCGTAGCTAAGCACACCTGAGGTCCTGGGTTCCATCTCTAGCCACACGCACACACACACACACACACACACACACACACACACGGAAAGCTGCGGGTAGCTCCGTAGCTAAGCACACCTGAGGTCCTGGGTTCCATCTCTAGCCACACGCACACACACACACACACACACACACACACACACACGGAAAGCTGCGGGTAGCTCCGTAGCTAAGCACACCTGAGGTCCTGGGTTCCATCTCTAGCCACACGCACACACACACACACACACACACACACACACACGGAAAGCTGCGGGTAGCTCCGTAGCTAAGCACACCTGAGGTCCTGGGTTCCATCTCTAGCCACACGCACACACACACACACACACACACACACACACACGGAAAGCTGCGGGTAGCTCCGTAGCTAAGCACACCTGAGGTCCTGGGTTCCATCTCTAGCCACACGCACACACACACACACACACACACACACACACACACGGAAAGCTGCGGGTAGCTCCGTAGCTAAGCACACCTGAGGTCCTGGGTTCCATCTCTAGCCACACGCACACACACACACACACACACACACACACACACGGAAAGCTGCGGGTAGCTCCGTAGCTAAGCACACCTGAGGTCCTGGGTTCCATCTCTAGCCACACGCACACACACACACACACACACACACACACACACACGGAAAGCTGCGGGTAGCTCCGTAGCTAAGCACACCTGAGGTCCTGGGTTCCATCTCTAGCCACACGCACACACACACACACACACACACACACACACACACGGAAAGCTGCGGGTAGCTCCGTAGCTAAGCACACCTGAGGTCCTGGGTTCCATCTCTAGCCACACGCACACACACACACACACACACACACACACACACACGGAAAGCTGCGGGTAGCTCCGTAGCTAAGCACACCTGAGGTCCTGGGTTCCATCTCTAGCCACACGCACACACACACACACACACACACACACACACACGGAAAGCTGCGGGTAGCTCCGTAGCTAAGCACACCTGAGGTCCTGGGTTCCATCTCTAGCCACACGCACACACACACACACACACACACACACACACACACGGAAAGCTGCGGGTAGCTCCGTAGCTAAGCACACCTGAGGTCCTGGGTTCCATCTCTAGCCACACGCACACACACACACACACACACACACACACACACACGGAAAGCTGCGGGTAGCTCCGTAGCTAAGCACACCTGAGGTCCTGGGTTCCATCTCTAGCCACACGCACACACACACACACACACACACACACACACACGGAAAGCTGCGGGTAGCTCCGTAGCTAAGCACACCTGAGGTCCTGGGTTCCATCTCTAGCCACACGCACACACACACACACACACACACACACACACACGGAAAGCTGCGGGTAGCTCCGTAGCTAAGCACACCTGAGGTCCTGGGTTCCATCTCTAGCCACACGCACACACACACACACACACACACACACACACACACGGAAAGCTGCGGGTAGCTCCGTAGCTAAGCACACCTGAGGTCCTGGGTTCCATCTCTAGCCACACGCACACACACACACACACACACACACACACACACGGAAAGCTGCGGGTAGCTCCGTAGCTAAGCACACCTGAGGTCCTGGGTTCCATCTCTAGCCACACGCACACACACACACACACACACACACACACACACGGAAAGCTGCGGGTAGCTCCGTAGCTAAGCACACCTGAGGTCCTGGGTTCCATCTCTAGCCACACGCACACACACACACACACACACACACACACACACACGGAAAGCTGCGGGTAGCTCCGTAGCTAAGCACACCTGAGGTCCTGGGTTCCATCTCTAGCCACACGCACACACACACACACACACACACACACACACACACGGAAAGCTGCGGGTAGCTCCGTAGCTAAGCACACCTGAGGTCCTGGGTTCCATCTCTAGCCACACGCACACACACACACACACACACACACACACACACACGGAAAGCTGCGGGTAGCTCCGTAGCTAAGCACACCTGAGGTCCTGGGTTCCATCTCTAGCCACACGCACACACACACACACACACACACACACACACACACGGAAAGCTGCGGGTAGCTCCGTAGCTAAGCACACCTGAGGTCCTGGGTTCCATCTCTAGCCACACGCACACACACACACACACACACACACACACACACACGGAAAGCTGCGGGTAGCTCCGTAGCTAAGCACACCTGAGGTCCTGGGTTCCATCTCTAGCCACACGCACACACACACACACACACACACACACACACACACGGAAAGCTGCGGGTAGCTCCGTAGCTAAGCACACCTGAGGTCCTGGGTTCCATCTCTAGCCACACGCACACACACACACACACACACACACACACACACACGGAAAGCTGCGGGTAGCTCCGTAGCTAAGCACACCTGAGGTCCTGGGTTCCATCTCTAGCCACACGCACACACACACACACACACACACACACACACACACGGAAAGCTGCGGGTAGCTCCGTAGCTAAGCACACCTGAGGTCCTGGGTTCCATCTCTAGCCACACGCACACACACACACACACACACACACACACACACACGGAAAGCTGCGGGTAGCTCCGTAGCTAAGCACACCTGAGGTCCTGGGTTCCATCTCTAGCCACACGCACACACACACACACACACACACACACACACACACGGAAAGCTGCGGGTAGCTCCGTAGCTAAGCACACCTGAGGTCCTGGGTTCCATCTCTAGCCACACGCACACACACACACACACACACACACACACACACACGGAAAGCTGCGGGTAGCTCCGTAGCTAAGCACACCTGAGGTCCTGGGTTCCATCTCTAGCCACACGCACACACACACACACACACACACACACACACACACGGAAAGCTGCGGGTAGCTCCGTAGCTAAGCACACCTGAGGTCCTGGGTTCCATCTCTAGCCACACGCACACACACACACACACACACACACACACACACACGGAAAGCTGCGGGTAGCTCCGTAGCTAAGCACACCTGAGGTCCTGGGTTCCATCTCTAGCCACACGCACACACACACACACACACACACACACACACACGGAAAGCTGCGGGTAGCTCCGTAGCTAAGCACACCTGAGGTCCTGGGTTCCATCTCTAGCCACACGCACACACACACACACACACACACACACACACACACGGAAAGCTGCGGGTAGCTCCGTAGCTAAGCACACCTGAGGTCCTGGGTTCCATCTCTAGCCACACGCACACACACACACACACACACACACACACACACGGAAAGCTGCGGGTAGCTCCGTAGCTAAGCACACCTGAGGTCCTGGGTTCCATCTCTAGCCACACGCACACACACACACACACACACACACACACACACACGGAAAGCTGCGGGTAGCTCCGTAGCTAAGCACACCTGAGGTCCTGGGTTCCATCTCTAGCCACACGCACACACACACACACACACACACACACACACACACGGAAAGCTGCGGGTAGCTCCGTAGCTAAGCACACCTGAGGTCCTGGGTTCCATCTCTAGCCACACGCACACACACACACACACACACACACACACACACACGGAAAGCTGCGGGTAGCTCCGTAGCTAAGCACACCTGAGGTCCTGGGTTCCATCTCTAGCCACACGCACACACACACACACACACACACACACACACACGGAAAGCTGCGGGTAGCTCCGTAGCTAAGCACACCTGAGGTCCTGGGTTCCATCTCTAGCCACACGCACACACACACACACACACACACACACACACACACGGAAAGCTGCGGGTAGCTCCGTAGCTAAGCACACCTGAGGTCCTGGGTTCCATCTCTAGCCACACGCACACACACACACACACACACACACACACACACACGGAAAGCTGCGGGTAGCTCCGTAGCTAAGCACACCTGAGGTCCTGGGTTCCATCTCTAGCCACACGCACACACACACACACACACACACACACACACACACGGAAAGCTGCGGGTAGCTCCGTAGCTAAGCACACCTGAGGTCCTGGGTTCCATCTCTAGCCACACGCACACACACACACACACACACACACACACACACACGGAAAGCTGCGGGTAGCTCCGTAGCTAAGCACACCTGAGGTCCTGGGTTCCATCTCTAGCCACACGCACACACACACACACACACACACACACACACACGGAAAGCTGCGGGTAGCTCCGTAGCTAAGCACACCTGAGGTCCTGGGTTCCATCTCTAGCCACACGCACACACACACACACACACACACACACACACACACGGAAAGCTGCGGGTAGCTCCGTAGCTAAGCACACCTGAGGTCCTGGGTTCCATCTCTAGCCACACGCACACACACACACACACACACACACACACACACGGAAAGCTGCGGGTAGCTCCGTAGCTAAGCACACCTGAGGTCCTGGGTTCCATCTCTAGCCACACGCACACACACACACACACACACACACACACACACACGGAAAGCTGCGGGTAGCTCCGTAGCTAAGCACACCTGAGGTCCTGGGTTCCATCTCTAGCCACACGCACACACACACACACACACACACACACACACACGGAAAGCTGCGGGTAGCTCCGTAGCTAAGCACACCTGAGGTCCTGGGTTCCATCTCTAGCCACACACACACACACACACACACACACACACACACACACGGAAAGCTGCGGGTAGCTCCGTAGCTAAGCACACCTGAGGTCCTGGGTTCCATCTCTAGCCACACGCACACACACACACACACACACACACACACACACGGAAAGCTGCGGGTAGCTCCGTAGCTAAGCACACCTGAGGTCCTGGGTTCCATCTCTAGCCACACGCACACACACACACACACACACACACACACACACACGGAAAGCTGCGGGTAGCTCCGTAGCTAAGCACACCTGAGGTCCTGGGTTCCATCTCTAGCCACACGCACACACACACACACACACACACACACACACACACGGAAAGCTGCGGGTAGCTCCGTAGCTAAGCACACCTGAGGTCCTGGGTTCCATCTCTAGCCACACGCACACACACACACACACACACACACACACACACACGGAAAGCTGCGGGTAGCTCCGTAGCTAAGCACACCTGAGGTCCTGGGTTCCATCTCTAGCCACACGCACACACACACACACACACACACACACACACACACGGAAAGCTGCGGGTAGCTCCGTAGCTAAGCACACCTGAGGTCCTGGGTTCCATCTCTAGCCACACGCACACACACACACACACACACACACACACACACACGGAAAGCTGCGGGTAGCTCCGTAGCTAAGCACACCTGAGGTCCTGGGTTCCATCTCTAGCCACACGCACACACACACACACACACACACACACACACACGGAAAGCTGCGGGTAGCTCCGTAGCTAAGCACACCTGAGGTCCTGGGTTCCATCTCTAGCCACACGCACACACACACACACACACACACACACACACACACGGAAAGCTGCGGGTAGCTCCGTAGCTAAGCACACCTGAGGTCCTGGGTTCCATCTCTAGCCACACACACACACACACACACACACACACACACACACACACGGAAAGCTGCGGGTAGCTCCGTAGCTAAGCACACCTGAGGTCCTGGGTTCCATCTCTAGCCACACACACACACACACACACACACGGAAAGAAGCCCGGTGGGGTGAGGCTTCCTGGCGTTTGCGCCCGGCCCTGGCTGGCCTCTGACTCCCAGGAGCGCTGCCCCTGAGCTCCTGTCTCTTCCTGCAGGCTCCCTGTCCGCCCTGGTGTACCAGCACTCCATCATCCCTCTGGCTCTGCCCTGCAAGCTCGTCATTCCAAACCGAGGTAGGACATGAGACTCCCCGCGCTCCAAAGGTGCCCTTGAGCTACCTCCTTCGTGACTGGCCCTGCCAGCTACTCCAGAATGTGGGCCAGGGGTGGAGGGCACTGGCCATTTTGCCAACGTGGGGAAATTCAAAACCTCTCTCGCACTCACTTCTTTTTCCTGATAAAAAAGAAGGAAAAGTTTGCGGGCGTGGTGGTGCACACTTGTAATCCCAGTGGCTGGGGAGGCTGAGGCAGGAGGATCATGAGTTCCAAGCCAGCCTCGGCAACTTAGCGAGACTGTAAACAACCTAGTGAGATCCTGCCTCAGGATATCAAATATAAAGGACTGGGGATGTGGGCAGGTGGCTCAGTGGTTAAGTGCCCTTGGGTTCAATTCCTGGTACCCCCCAAAAGAAGGAAAAGTTTATTTAAGAGTTGAACGCCAGGGGCATAGGTAAGTTGTCTTTCCAGATGGTTCTAGAAAATACTCTGGAGCCTTTAAGAAATTCATACTGAATTCTCAGAATAAGCCTCATCCCCAGGGAAGGCCTAAGACGTGGGAGAGTCAGGAGAAGAATGTCCTAGAGGTTGAGATAAAATCTCTCATATTAGTTGATGATTTTTATCTATTCAATTCAGTTCACTGAATTATTAATAATAATTGGCCAACATTATTAGCTTAAAAATTCCAACACAACTTAAGCAGCATTATTAACCACCCAGTTTAGACACCAATTAAATTACATTTTTATGGAATTCACTGTGGAAGTCCAGCAATTACAAAGCTGTTTGACTTTGAATTGTATAAACCTGTGGTTCTTGAAATGTGGCCCCCAGACCAGCAGGCTGTGCATCCCCTGAGAACTTGTTAAATGCCGGCATTCTCAAGGTCCACTTCTTCAAGAACTCTAGGTTGGGCCCAGCCATCTGCATTTTAACAAGGCTGCACACCAAAGTGTAAGCAACACTGGTTACAAATGAGACTCGATGCTTATTTGTTGTTCTGATTTTGTTTTTAAAAGTTTTAGTGCTGGAGACTCAGTGGCACATGCCTGTAATCTCAGCTACTGGGGAGGCTGAGGCAGGAGGATCACAAGTTTGAGGCCAGCCTCAGCCACTTAGCAAAGCCCTGTCTCAAAATTAAAATAATTTAAAAGGGCTGGGAGGTAATTCAGTGGTAAAGTGCCCCCGTGGTTCAATCCCCAATACCATGAAAAAAAATTATTTAGGTATAGTTGAAATAAAAACAGTAGTATGCACTGTGTTTAATGTGTTGCTTTGATATAGCTACACATTGGGAAATGGTAAAGTCAAGCTACTTAACATGTCTATCGCTTGGTCCTTACTAATCTTGAACTTGTGGTTGTGCTCTGTTGGTGGTTGAATGAATTCAAGCATAAACAGAAGCAACACCACTGCTGTTCGAAGCTTGCTTTTTGCCAGGCAGTGGATAAACACTATATATGGGTTGTTTGAAAACCCTGGGTAGTGAGTTCCACTTAGCAAGTGGCGGGCTGAGGGTTCGAGCCTAGCTCTCCTGGACCCAGAGCTCTCAACCCCTGTGCTGGGTTCTTAGAGCAGCGGTGGAACATTCCACCTGTAGGTAACCCAGTGCCTCCCACCGGGGCCAGCCGTGGAGAGCGTGTCCTTGGCACAAAGCGTTTGCAGAAGTTACCTGAGGCCCAGCCCAACCGTGCTTCTTTCCAGCTCTAGGGTTTTAATTACCAGGCGAATTTTTGTCTCAGACCCCACAGATGAATCGAGAGATAGCTCGGGCCCTGCCAACTCGACTTCTGACCTGCTGAAGCAGGGAGCAGGTGAGTGGTCCCTGGAGACTGGACCCCTGCCCACGACCTTCTTTCCACCTTCCTGCTTGGGCCTTCTGCAGGTGCAGGTGGAAGTCTGCCAGGCCCAGAGGTCTCCAGGCAGATTATGTTCCTCTGTGTAGATGTTTTGGCCCGAGGCTGGCCTGAAATTGATCTGCTACCTTTTCCCTCAAGAGTGGACCTGGGGCATCGTCTCCACCGACTCCAGCCTTCCTGATTCCCACTTGGGTCCATTTCTTGTAGCCTGTAATGTACTCTTCGTCAATTCCGTGGATATGGAGTCACTCACTGGGCCGCAGGCCATCTCCAAAGCCACATCTGAGACGTTGGCTGCTGACCCCACCCCAGCTGCCACTATCGTTCACTTCAAGGTCTCTGCGCAGGGAATCACACTGACTGACAACCAGAGAAAGTAAGCCTCGTCTACTTGCTCCCGGGCAGGGCTCTCCTTCCTGCAGCCCATCCGTGCCTCCACTCACCACCGCTCACCAACCCATCATCCCTTGCACCTCTCAGCCCACCTATTCTCCCATCCATCTATCTTGCTTCATTCTTTATCACAGTAGCTGTTCATCCATCCACTTGTTCACACACTCATCAATTGGTCCATTCATCTACTTACTCGCATCCATCCATTCCCTATCTATTCTATGCCTACTTATCCCTTCATGTGTGTGTGTCTCTATCCATCCAGCCAGCCATCATCCACCCATCCATTCATCCACCCGCCGACTCATCCATCTACCCATCCACCCATTCTCCATTCATCCACCCACCCATCTATCCATCCACTGATCCACCCATCTACCCACCCATCCATCCATCCATCCTCCACTCATCCATCCATCAATCTATCCACCCATCCACCCATCCTCCATCCCTCCATCCATCTATCTTCCATTCACCCATCCACCCACCCACCCATCCATCCATCCATCAATCTATCCATCCATCCATCCATTATCCATCTCTCCATCCACCCACCCACCCACCCATCCATCCACCCATCCACCCATCTATCAATCCTTCCATCCATCCTCTATCCACCCATTCATCCATCCTCCATCCACCCACCCATCCATCCATCAATCTTTCCATCCATCCATCCATCCTCCATCCATCCACCCATCCATCGATCCATCCATCCCTCCCTCCATCCATTCATCTATCCATCCCACCATCCCTCCATCCTCCCTCCCTCCCTCCCTCCATCCCTCCCTCCCTCCATCCTTCTACAAGGGTCTGCCTGAACCAGGTAGTCAGCTCGCAATACAACTGTTTAAAAGGTCCCTCTTTCCAGGAGCAGAGTCTTTCTTCCCAGGCTCTCTCCTAACCATGACCCCAGTTCATTTCCTTCCTCCTTTAGGGTCCCCCCATTTCTTATTCCTCAGTGTCAGTTTCTTTTCCAGCCTCTGGCTTTTGGGCTTGTTTCTGTGGCACATGTCTCTGTTCCTGTGCATCACTCGGGTCTCCGACTGAGCACCTCAGGCCATCTTGCTCTGTGAGACAGTGACCCACAACAGGCACAGTGTGAGGTGGCCTGGTGGAAGCAGACCCTCCCGTGCTCATTCTCTGTTCTCTGATGTCTGAACCACAGGCTCTTCTTCCGAAGACACTACCCCCTCAACACTGTCACCTTCTGTGACCTGGATCCACAGGAAAGAAAGTAAGTCTCTTGGAAACACCTTCCCTCTCAGCCAGCTCACGCCGCTGGAGAGAGTGTGTGTACATGAGCACAGATGCGCGAATTCTCAGTCCAACTGGAAGATCCGCCTGTGTCCAGGGGAGTGTGCATAATTGCGTTGGGCATTTTTTGAGTTTTTTTCATAGATCTGGAGACTCTCCTGGGACTCAAATGCCATTTTTACCCCCTCTGGCCCAACCCTGACCCTGACCCTGTTTCTCCCCTCCACACTGTGGGAGGTAGCCTGGCAGTGTTTGCTCCAACTTGAAAGCCCCTGGGTGACCTTGGTCGTTTCTGTCCTGCAGAGGTCGGGGCTCCTCTGCTTGCCCCAGAGAGTCTGGTCTGAGTGGGCGGTGCTCTGGGGACAGGTGCAGTGATTTACCCTGAGCTGACTTTCTCTCCACAGGTGGATGAAGACAGAGGGAGGTGCTCCTGCTAAGTAAGTGTGGCTTCCTAGTCCACCAGCAGGTGGGGCGGGGCAGGTTTAGAATCCGCAGCCTGGGGTGGGGAAAGGCCAGCAAGGATCTTTGTGCCAATGTCACTGAAGTCTGGAGAAACAGTACAGCCCACGTGTGTGGCTTTAGCAAAGGAGAGTGTGTCCTGGTGGGACAGAGTTGGAAAGGCTTTGGAAAAGAACGAATATTTTAAAATGGATCTTAAAAGGCAGGTAGAGTTTGCTCAGGCTGAAAGGTAGGAGAGAGATGGGTTTAATGGGAGGAGGTAGCTTGACCAGCAATGTGGGCAGGGCTGAGTGTCCCACAGAGAGGCTGCTGAATGGTTGGTGGCTGAAGAAAAGGGACCCTCAACGCTGGGGACTTGGCCTTGTTCAGTCTTCATGATCATCAAGGACTCTGAGTCCCCATGTATTCTTGTGTCCCTGCCAGCCGGCCAGGCAGGCCAGGGCTTGCAGTGGGGGCAGGTGGCAGTGTCAGGGCAGGCATGGGTTGGCCAGGTCTCCGTCATGGCAGAAGCAGGCAGACAAGGCTGGCATGCCTGTGTGATGGGAGTTCAGAGATGACCCCCACCCTGCTCAGGTCACCCCCACTGCACTACAGCCCTAGCCAGCCCAGAAAGGGAGGAGCTGGGGGCTGCCCTGTGGACCCCAGTGACTCCAACACCTGGGCACTACTCCAGCTCCTGAAACCAAGCTGGAAGAGTAAAGTTGTGGGAAGTACAGGGCTGTGTGTGTGAGTGTGTGTGAGTGTGTTTGTGACTTGGCTAATTTTAGCCGGGCAGTGCCGTCTGAGGCAGAGGGGTGTCCATGGGCATCTCCAGCTGTCCCGATTTCCCCATCTCGCTCTAATTAGCAACACCCCAGCTGGGAGGGGCCCCGAGCTCACATTCTGTTCTCTGCCCTTGTATTTTTAACTCTGTTTTGCAAAGAGAGAATGTTAGGTCACTCCCGTCTTGGTGCCGGAGGGGACAGGTGTGGGGTCCCCTCCTCCTTGGGTTCTCTGGGCTTCCCAGCCTCTGGACGAGGCGGCTGTGTGTGTGTGGGGGGGGGGGGACCTGCCCGTTCTTGATCACCCTGACCTCCTGGGGTGCATGGTGGGTGCGTGATGGGTGCGTGATGGGTGCCTGGTGGGTGCGTGGTGGGTGCGAAGGCCCCATCCTGGCTGGGCCCCCCGGCCTCCTGGTTTGCTTCTGTGCTGTTTATGGGAACAGTCGGGTTGGGTGGGGCTGGGAGAGGCTGCTTGAGGAATGCTCCCACTTTATTTCTGGTCTCGTCCCCACCCTGTACTATCCAGTCCTGTCCTTCACCCCAGACCTGCTCCACCCCTCCAAGGGGAACGTTCGCCTGCCCTGAAACAAAGCGAGACGCTGTCCCCAGCCTTGACCTTGCTGCGGGGGAACCAAGAGGGCTCTGTCTCAGGCGCCCTCCTGTCCCTGAGGCCCGGGGAGGCTGGGGACGCAGTGTGGCAGGCTGGGCGTGCCCTGGCCAGGGTCCTCCTGTCTTCCCCTCTCGCCCACCACCCTCTCCCACCCCTGCAGGCTCTTTGGCTTCGTGGCCCGGAAGCAAGGCAGCACCACAGACAACGCCTGCCACCTCTTTGCCGAGCTCGACCCCAAGCAGCCTGCCTCGGCCATCGTCAACTTTGTCTCCAAGGTCATGCAGAGCACCGGCCAGAAGAGATGAGCCCAGACCCCTTGCCCAGGGCCAGGGCAGTGGGGACGGGGCACCTGGGGAGGGGACCTCTGAATCCTGACCACCTCGAATCCACAAGGAGGACTTTGGGCTAATTTTGGAGAAGGAGAGAAGAAAGTGTAGCGTTGGGCGAGGGAAGTGAATTGCAGAGGGGAGGGGAGAGGGAGAAAAAGCAAAAAAAAGATGGAGGAGGAGACGCAGGTTCTCCTGGGCAGATGGAATCGGCAGCCTCCCAGAGCCTCCTAAGCCAGCCAGGTCCCCTCACTCCTGCCCCCTCTGAGAGGACAGAGCTCCTCCACGGGCCTCCTTGGGATCCACATTTTGGGGGGAAAATCAAAAAGCTCTGTGTCCCTCGCCACCTGCTTTGCAAGGACAGTTCAAGCCAAGAGAGTCTTTTTCTGGCCACCTGAGGGCGGGTCGCTGAGCCCGAAGGCTGGCGGGAGAAAGCGCGTGGAGAAGCTTTTCCTTCTGACACTATGCCAGACCCGAGGCCCCTCCGTCCTGTGCTGGGCCATGATGCATTGTGATGTGGGTGTTTGTCTGTCCCCACCCACACCCTCACACACTGATTTCTATCGCCTCTGTCTGCTAGAATTGTAAACAGCTCTGCTCGCCCCTGTCCCCTGGGTTAGCACACACGTGCATGCTGTCCAAAGAAGGTTAGGGTTGGGGGTGACACGGCAGCAGGAGGAGACAGAGCCCTCTCCTGCAGGAGTACCTAGGATTCCCCCTTCCCGTCCCTGTACTTATACTCTAGTGGCCCCGGGTGCCACCAGCCTGCTCTGTACAGAGGCCCTGGCCAGAGGGGAAGTGCACCCCTGCTCCATTGCTGGTTGACCGGGAGCCCTGGGCTTTGGTGTGAGGAAGCAGAGATATGTGTGTCCGTAGGGAGGAGGACTGTCAGGAAAGGTGACTGCTGAGCTCTGATACCTTCCCACCACGGGTGGCTCACAGCTGGCTGGGCAGGCTGCTCTGGCCAGTGCCGGGACTCTGCCTTACTCCTGCTGCTCGGCCCCATTCCTGGGCTCAGGGTCCCAGCGCCAGCCTTATCTCAGCCTTGCTTATCTGCATGCTGCCTTTTGGGGCACTGGGGATGGTGACTTCCTGCCCTGCCCTGTCTTTCCTGCAAGGTCCTCATGCTGGGGCTCATCCTGGGGAACCTGCTTCTCAGCTCCCTTCTCAGCAAGGCCCCAGGAGAAACGTGTGGTCCTGGTGTCCCCTCTGTAACACAGAGCCTCAAGGTCTGACTGGTTGCAGGCGCCTTTCAGCTGGGCTGCTCAGGGTGACATCAGCAAAGCTCCTAGGGCTGCTTCCGGAGCACCACAGGGCCTCCCCGTCACGCCACAGCCTCGCTGTCTCCCTTCTTTCTGCCTTGGCTTCCCCAGCAGAGCCACACTGCCCACAGAGCAGGGGACAAAGAGCATGCATTTAGGTCAAAAGACCAAGGGTCCATTTGGGCAGTGGGGAAGACCCTTGGCCACCACCCAGGAACTCTAAGCCAGAATGGAAACTTCACCAGGACTCCATTCTTCAGCCCACAGGGGCCCTCTGAAGAGTGGCATTGTACTGATATATAAATATATATAATATATACCTGAGACATACTGACAGAATCTGTAAGCTAATAAAATATAAGAAAAGGTTAAAAAATAGGTAAATTGACAAAAAGTATTTATTGTTTTCCCAGATTGCTCTGTTGCCTCCCTGAGCAGAAACCAGTCCCCGTCCCTTTCTTTACATATAAGTAGAGCCTGAAGTGGAGGGGCCTTTGTGGCCCGTGGCGTGGCTGGGCATCTCCTTGCCCTGGGCCGCGCTGGGGCTCAGTGGGGTGGGGTGCATACGCTGCATCCTGTTGGCTCCCTGATTCTCTGTCAATTAGGCCCAGCAGTCAGCTCCCTGCACATCTGGAGAGCTGACCTCGTTCCTACAGGCCTGAATGTGTGTGTGAGCGTGCAGGGGACCAGGTGTGTGTGGCCACGAGTGCGTGTGCGTCTCTGGGAGCTGTCCCTCTGTGGACATTGTTACAGGGAGCTGGAAAGGAAAGTGTCTAGATTAGACGGGGGGCAGAGGCCAAGCCCCCACCGCGCTCCCCAAAGGGGAAGTCCCGGGCTGTGTGAGCTAGGTCCTTCCAAAGTGCCCTTCCTTCTGAGATGTTGAAGCCAAATATCTGAAGCTACCTTTCCTTATTCCCTAACGCACCCAAGGTCTCCTCTAAGATAGAAGGAGACATTTCCCCACCCGGTTTCTTTGTAAATACCTTCCTCTCCCGCTGCCTAGGCCGGCAGCCTCCTCCTGGTCGGTTGCCTCCTCTTGGCTGGAGGCTGGAGGACCCTCCGGAAGCCCGCCCTGCATGGGGACCGAGTCTGGGGTCAGCCTTCACACTTGCCTAGCCACTGCCCACCCTTAGCCCCTTCAGGCCTGGCCAGCCCCCGCACTCCAGGCCAGCCACGTGTGAGCCAGGGGGTCATCAGAGAGTGCTGGTGAGCTGGCCACTCGCTCTCAGCACACCTGTGGAGAGATCAGCACTTCTGGGGCCACGTGGTGGCCTGCCGCCCCGCCCTGCCCAGTGTCTCACAGGTGGACCCGGCACACACACACACACACACACACACATCACTCTGCGCTGTAGTCTATGCTTGCCAAAGATTTCCTTTAAAAGAGAGAGCACTTTGACTCATTGTTATCATTTTATACGTGTTTATCCCCGCCTCCCGGCCCTTTGCCTGTTGTGTGTGTTGAATCTGTCGTCAGCAGGAGAGTGCTGTCTGGTCTGATGGGGGCTGAGGCAGGGAAGGGTCTGGAGAAAAGGCAAGAAAGAGCGGGAGACGCCTGGTCAGCACGAGGTGCTGCCTCTGCCTGTCCAACAGGTCTCTGGGGCAGGCCTGGGCCTCACCCTAGCTGGCCGCCACAGGCATGGTGGGGACATCTCCGATTCTGCAAGGATTGGGGCCCAGGGAGAATAAGAGGGAAGGGCTGGGCCTGAGAGCCGTGGTGAGGGGAGCCGGGGAAATGAGCTGTGTTTGTGGCTTCTAGGGGTGACAGAGGTGCCCCCCTGCCATCGTGGTGTCTTGGCTCCTTGGTCTAGCCAGGCGTCTGAGGACAGAAGCATCACCTCCTGGGTTGGGGACAGGCATTTTGAGCCATCTCGCTGACCCCCTCCCCCAGGAGTTGTGAAAGCTGAGGACACTGACTGCCGAGGATTCTTCTCCCTGACTTCTCAGGAACCCCCAGATGTGGTAGGGACCGGGCAGGATGGGTGGTGGGACCTGGGGCTGTGCGGCATCCTGCTATGAGGGGGCTCTCAGGAGGGAGAGGAGGGGGACTCTCCTGCTTCATATCCCCATCTAAGGAGCCCACCCCTGCCCACCCCTGGGGTCTTCTAAGAGCTTGGGGGCAGAGTTTCAGGGCCACCTCTTCACCCAGGGCCAGGCCCTGGAATGCTGAGACTCGTGTTCCCGTGTCCAGAGGTAACATAGGATGTGTGTGTGCGTGTGTGCAAGTGTGGACGTCTGTGTGTGTGTTTGGCTCATCTCTTTAGGGCACTTAGGGGTAAGGGGTTGAGGTGGTGCATGGCAGAATGTCAAGTTCAAGGTGACCCAGCGGTGAGAGCTATCAGAAGGGAGGCCTGTAGGGCCAGCGATTAGTGGAGTCTCAGCGTTGGGTGGCGAGGACCGGCCCCCTGGGCTGGGCTCAGCAGACCTGTTCCTTCCTGTCTCCCCTGTAAATGTGGGAGAGGACAGGGGACTCAGTTTCCCACACCTGGGCCGTTCCCAGCAACAAGGTTATTGTAGAGCCATGTCCCAAGCTTGTTTTCTAATCAGTGTTAAATGGAGTGACACTCTCCTGTGGGTCTGTGTTTGGTCTGTGCGTGTGAGTGTGAGCACGCCCAGGTGTGCCTGCTGTGTCCCCCCCCCCACCCATTTTCTCTCCTCTCTTCAGACTTGTCATTCAAAACAAATGTCAGAAATTCCTTATCACAGCACCCCCACCCCGCCTCCCAGGTCCTCTGCAGAAAACCCCGAGTACCCCAGGGTCCTCCCACACCCCGCTGTGTATTTATAGAGATGGAAATATACTTTATATTTTGTATCATTGTGCCTATAACTTTGCCACCTTGTATAAACCCTGATGTATGCTATTCGTCCTGGATATGAATGTACGGACCCCCACGCTGGCTCTCCCACTCCTGTACAGCGCCTCGGTTTCTTTGCGATCCATTGTATGGCTTTATAAATGATAAAACTTAAAGAAAAACTGTATGGTGTTATCTAGCTGTGTTGTTTGGACAGGGGTTTCTAGAAGAAAGGGACCCTTCGCGAGCATCAGATATGAGGGGATTCAGTTCTCCCTCCGGTGGTTGATTCACCCCAAATTCTCCCAACAACTTCCCCAACACCCAAGTCTATGTCTGGTCATTACTGGGTTGTTCATCTGGACTCTTTCATCTGGAAGAGAATCTCAATTCAAATTTGTTCAAGAAAAAAATGGCATTTATTAGGCCAAGTGCTGAGAAGGGCAGGCAGAGCCTGGTCCAGGGCGTCGAGGGATGGGATGGGGAATCTGTTCTCATCGCTTGTCCTGAGCTGGCCCAATACTCAGGCAGACTCTGTCCCAGTGATGGGGACACAGGAAGCTCTGAGCCTTCGGTCCATCAGCTTGCTGGTCCAGGTAGAAAGAAGACTCCATCTTCCTACGTTCTCAGGGAGAACCTGGGACACATGCCTGTTGGTTCTGAGAGAGCCTGCCTCTGGAACCTTCTGTAATCAGCTACGGGGACTGAGAATGGGGAGGGCTGGATGCCCCTTGAAGGGGTGAGGTTTATCAGAGTAAGGGGAGCAGAGGCTGCTAGGTAGAATCTCCGGAGGCCGCTCAGGTAGTCCCCGTGGAGCGAGCTCACGCTGGGCCACTAGTGTTCAGAAGGATTGGGTGTGTGGTCCACGGAGGCTGCCATAGCACACCCCAGGGGCTCTGGGAGATCCCCACATCCTCAAATTCTCCACTGAGCTTGCAGAGTGGCCGGGAGGGCGATGTGGACTGACTGGCGGGGCCCGCAGGTCAACCCTCCAAGGTTGGCATAGCAGTGGACGAGGGGCAGGCCTCTCCAATTTCGGGTCTCAGGACTCCTTTACTCTCTTAAAAATTATCGAGGCCCCTGAAGAGCTTTTGTTTAGGTGGGTTATATCTTTCCGTCTTGACCTCAGTATAAATTAAAACTGAGAACACTTCAAACATACTCATTCACTTCTAGAACATTCATTACGTGTGAAAGTAAATGGCATTTCCATGAAAGAGAGTGAAACTTTTTTTATTTTTATTTTTTGATATCAGAGATAGAACCCAAGGGTGCTTAACCACTGGGCCACATTCTCAGAGATTTTAATTTTATTTAGAGAGAGGGTCTCAATAAGTTGCTTAGGGTCTCCCTAAGTTGCTGAGGCTGGCTTTGAACTTGCCATCTCCTGACTCAGCCTCCTGAGCCATTGGGACACTGATACTTTCTAAAGCAGAAACTGAATAAAAACTCCAAGAGCGACTTGATATCATTACAAAGTAGCTTTGACCTCACAGAACCCCCGAAAGGGCCTCACGAACCCCGGGGTGCCAGCCCAGGTGGGACGACACCTGGTGCTCTATGAGGTGAGCGAGTCAGGAAGCACACACCTGCCAGCTGTGAAGAGGCCTGTGCCCAGATGGCAGCATCATGCCAGACATGTCCCACCAAATCCACGACATGGGGTTTGTCCTGTGACCTAAGGGACACCTCAGGAAACAGAGGCTCTGAGAGGTCACCTGGCTTCTAACTGACAAAGCTGGGCCTCGTCATCATCATTACCTGCGATGGCTGGTGTTCAGCAAACACTCGAAGAGGGCCAGGACCTGCACTAGGCACGTAAGTGTGTTTTCTTACACAAGCACAACTGTCAGATAAAGAATGTCTTTGTTCTCATCTCACAGAGGAAGAGACTGAGGTTCAAAGAGGTTGAGGTGCTTGCTCAAAGTCACAAAGCTGGGATAAGTGACAGTGTCAGGCTAGACCCCAGGTGAGCCGACCCCATAGCCAGACCTTTCCTGGTGTAGAAGCAAACTTGCCGTTGTGTGTGTGCCCATCTCCCCCAGATACGCACACTATGCACATACAGAGGCATAGAGACCACACAGAGCCCCTGTCCACACGCACAGGTGACTTAGCCTCTTGAGCCATGCTGAGTCCCCTGGTCGGCATCTCCTCCCCTGCCTCCTACCCGTCAAGCACCTGGGGTGCAGCCAGCAGTCAGCTCCAGGTTCCCAGCACCAGGGTGCAGGGGCTTCTCCCTCCAGGATCCAACCCTAGCTCTGCTAGTCAGCAAATGGCCCCGTTAGAGAAGGGGAGAGAAGGAGTGCGTGAGCTCTGGGGAGCAGGCAAGCTGGGGAGTGGTGGGAAGGGGCAGAGCCCAGGGCGCAGCCAGGACCCAGGAGCTCAACGTGAGCTCAGGAGGCTAGGGGAGGAGGTGACACTGGGTATCCCACGTTTCATGGCCTCTGATATCCAGGGAGTTAGCTTCCTCCAGCCTCCATGGGCGTTGGGTGAAGGCTGCAGGAGGTCAGAGGTGGGGGAGCTGCTTGGAAAGGAAAGGGGTGCTTGGGAGGGGTGAGCTTCCTGACCTGGAGACCGTGGGGCTGGAGACTGCAGAGGCCCTTCCTAAGCTCCGTCAGGTGTGGCTGCAGACACAGGCCAGGACAGTTACCTGTCTAGCTTGAGTGTGGCCAGTCCCATGCTTGACCTGAGAAGATCCCCCTGAAGCAGGATCTTCCTGAGGTGCCCCGCCTCAGAGCCAGGAATGGCTGGGTTTGGTTCTGGTTTCTCTGGGCCTCAGTTTCCTCATCTGTGAAATGGGACGATCCCTCGCTAGAAGGCTGCTATGAGGGTGGAGACCACCTCACACGGTGCTGGGCTGACTGTGGGCCCCGCAATACGCGCCTCCTTTCTTTTTCTGGTGCCTCTGCCTCCTCCACACCCACCCCTCAGGCCTCTGGGGAGACTTGGCAGCAGAGAGGAGGTGGGGCAGACAGCCTCCCGAATGATATCGATCTGCTGGGCTCCGGGCTCCTGACCACAGCATTGGGGGTGATTACAGCAGCCTCCACAGCTCCAGCTTTTATGGGGTCTGAAATATCATCTCTGGCCATCAAGACAGGATGTCCGGGCTCTGGGCCCCTCCTCTCAGCCTCCACTCCATTCCCTGACTCCCAGCTCAGTCCTGGGAAGCCTCCCATTCCCAAGTCGAGTCCTAGGCAATGAAAGGTGCCCCTCAGGTCGCCAGGCCCTGCCCTCCCCCAGCCCTGCATCTGTGTCCTGCGTGGGTGGAATACGACCTGGCAGACTATTGTCCCTCCCTCAGGGCATGTGGGCTGGTTTGGGTCACAAGAGCATGGCCTGGGTGGAGCAGGGGAGGGGTTCTTGAGGAGGGCAGGAGACCACTTGAGAGAGATGGAGGAGACCCCAGACCCTGAAGCTTCAGGGCTTCGTGGGGGCTGGGGGTCGAGTCCCCGCCATCCTGCGCACTCGGGCTTCCTCTTCTCCTGTTCCTGCTCCAGGACCTTCCCAGCTCTGACCCTGAATCCTGGATTGGGACACGGTGGCTGGGGGCCACGCAGACACTGATGGGAGGGAGGGAGAGATGTTTGGGACTGCAGAAGGCAGGCTGGGGACGCCGTTAGAGCTCTCCTCTTAGGGTCCCCTCCTCTTGCTCTTCCCGGTCTCCCCTGTTTGGTGCCCTCCCCCTTCTTCCTGCCCCTCCCTTCTGTTCCCATTCTCTGTCCTGTCTCCCCTCTGTCTCTTTCTCTCTCCCAGCCAGCCTCTGTGTTCTCACCCTGCCGAGGCCTCAGTTGACAGTGGAGGATGGAGACCAAGGATACCTCCCTTCCCAGGGATCTCGGAGAACAGGAGGGGCCGAAGCTGGGGGTGAGGGGAGCTGCAGAGGTGCGGAGGACTCTGGGATGCCCAGACAGGGCCTGCGGGTCCCCTCTGCCAGCCCTGAAGTCCTCCTGGGGACAGCTTCCCAGCACTGTCCATAGCCTAAGGCTCCCTCCAGTGGCCATCTGGGGAGTTGCAGCCACTCAACCCTCCTGGAAGAGGTCACAGCGGGCAGCTGGCTGAGCCAACTTTCCAAGGGCCTGAGAGACACGATTAATTGAGAACTGGAAGCAGAGAGCAATTTTGCACTTAGAAGCAGCCTGTTTATTAAAAGCTTCAGGGGACTAGTGAGGACAGAGACCTGGTGGCCTCCATCCCATCATTTACCACCCCTCTTGGCAGATGAGAGCAGCCCAGAACTCCTTGGAGGCTGGGCTGGAGACCGCTCGGGGTCATCAGTGGCTGGAACCCTGAGGAGTTCTGGTATGGCTGGGTGGAAGGGGCACTGCATGAGCAGTCAGGGGACCTGGGCACACTGGGCTGGGCACAGTAATTCCTTTCACAAAACCTTCGTATCCTCTTCTTTAACATGGCTTTTTGGGACAGCATACTCGGTTCAATCTCCAGCACCAAAGTGGGTGATAAAATAGAAAAAAGAACAGAGAATTCCATCCCAGTCAACAGGACGCTGGCAAGGCCAGACACGGTGTCCAGCATGCATTAGGGAAGAACGGGGCCTGGCCTGAGTGCATGGGGAAGAAGGTCCTGGGGCCGCAGCCACACCCTAGAAGAGCCGATGGTGGTGGTGGGCAGCCTGGGGTCAACATAGGGCCTTCTTGACCAGCCTAGAGCTGGAAGAGCCTCTGGGTGTCACAGAGAAGCCCCTCACCTCACCGGGCTCTGGAGGGGCTGGTGATGCTCCTGGTTCAATAGGAGGGAAGGTCAAGGGGAGGCTGCAAGAGGGAAGGAGATGCCCGAGAGGCAGCTGAGGGTCCAGCCTTGGCTCACAAAGCCAGGCACCTAAACAAGAACCAATCCCCTCCTGCCTTTGGAGAGGGGAGTGGGGCTTCGTCCCCCTTCCCACTTTGCTCCCTGTCCTGAGGAAGGAGTCTGTGTAAGGATGGTGGCTGTTGAGGCATTAGAAAGGGGCATATCTCCCCCTTGTGGCCACTGCTGGGTACTGCAGACATGAGCCCTGAAGACCGGAGGAAGTGCCAGACACAGCCTCAGGCTGTCCCTATTGACAAAACCCTGGATCTCTGGAACCTGTCAGCCTCCCTTTTGTGAGCCATGTTCAGAAGCAGGATGCAGGGGCCTCAGAGGGGTGCCTTTCAAGATCCCCTGGAGTGAGTGTGGCTTTCTCTG